CCCTGGGTCCGGCTGAGAAGCTCGTTGTGGCGTTTCTAACAACGTCTGTGGTGGACACGGCCGAACACGCTGAACGCATGCTGATTCCATGGTAATGTAGTCAGATGATGCTGGAGATGACGAAAACAGCTGATGCCCAACAGTTTTGATGGAAACAAAAGAGGATGTGAAGGAGCTCTGTTCGTATACTTAGCACTTTAGCCAGTTTCAGGCTAACTGAGCGAATTTTAGGCCCGGCCTAGAACCTAGAAAGCCTTGTACTTGTATGAGCTTCAGCGCAGTAATTATTAATGTACTCAGTGTTGTGAGGGGGGGGCAGGTTTACACTTTCCCTTAACTCTCGAATGTTACCAAGTAAACAGGGTGGCAGCTGGCTGCTGAAGCTAATGGGGGGGCAGTTTTGCTCTGGAGGCAGTGAGCTGAAAGGAAAATGAATCAACGGCCGGCGAAACAACTGCATCCTGTTTACGGCTGGTTTTTGCTTTCCGAACGACTGCAGTGTGCAGAAGCAGCGAGGTGTATCACTCCCCCCCCCCCACGATGGATGTAAAGGTGGCGGTGAACGCAGAGGAAGGGCAGACGGGTCCTCTTTGTGCTGTTTTTTTTTTTTTTTTTTTTGTGTGGGTAGGCAGTGGAAGGCGGAGGTTTGCAGACCAGGCTTTTGAATTTGGCGTTAAACTTTTTATTCACCGGAGGCCGGACACACCCTCCACCTTTGTCCCGATGGCTTACAATAAGTAACAGAGAGAGGTGATTCATGGACGTACCGGCTTTACTTATCAGCCAGGGGATGAGCTCCCCTCTTATCTTTCTTATCTGCCTTCAAAAGCGAGTCATCACTCAGATTTTGATGCAACGCACACGTCTCAGCCGCACCTCAAAGTGCATTAAAACGCGCCTTTTAGAACAAGTTTCAATTTTTTGGGGGGTGGGTTTGAAGAATGTGTGTGAAGTTTGGATTTCACAGCATGTAAACTGAACACAAATGAGCGGCTGTGAGGTCGGCCGGCCGTCTGAATGCGAGCTCTTTTCCAGCGTTCCTACCCTCCTGCAGCATTTGCATGGCCGGATTTAGCCTCCCAGCTCCCGAATGTATGCGTGTATGTTTTTGTGCCGGTATGCGTCGTCGTTCCCGGGTGTATTAAAGCGGCGCTCCGCTGCTGTGCCCCCCCCCGCCCACAGACTACAGCGGGGCCTGTCGGCAGACGGGGCTCCCGGCGTGGGTCACAAGACACACCAAAATGTGACAAGTTCATCTCAGAGAGCTGATAGCCGGGATCGTGTATCTTTAAAGCACATGTGCTTATTTAGCACAGAATTTGGTGTTATTTCTGTATGTGGGCGGCTGGGATGTGTGGTTCCATATCTGGATTTGTCATATGTGTGTTTGAGTCATGCTGAACGTCTGTGGGACTTTGATGTAAAAGCTATCGTACGGTTTTCCAGATAAGATGATTTTTTTAACCTTTTCTTTCAGTTTCAGACCAGTTATGCTTGTTGAAATGATGTAATTTAACTGGTATATATTCAGTGTAGCAGCTGGTTGCATTTAAAATGGAATTTTTGGCCTCAGTTTATTTCAGCCACTTTGTTATCTTGCTATCTCGACCATCCATAATACTACATACAAACTAAAGCCAGGTTATTTTTAGTGATCTTACTAACAAATGAAAAAAAAGCATTATAAGCGCACACCAGCCTCATTTTGGCAGAAGAATTACAATTGCATTCCGTTTCTTTGTTTGAAAGCAGACATTTTCTCGTTGACTGTTCCAGTGTTGTGTCATTTGTCAGGGAAAGCTAGCCAGTTAGCATATTAGCTCCAAAGTTATTCATAAAAATGTCCCAGATATTCGGCTGCATTGTGCCAGTTGAGTCCCCGTCCAGGTGCAGCTTTGGGTTTCTGTCAGCAGAATGCTTTGGTTTTCTGGTTCTGGTCCAGTTTGTGTTCGCAGTGTGCAGCTTAGCTACAGGTATAGCTTCTTTTAGCAGCAACGTGTTAGCCAGGGGAGCTAATTCTGTGTTATCTCCACAGAAGAGCTTCAAGTAATTTATTTTAGCAAACTTTGGAAATGTTTGTTTGTTGGTTTATTTTGTCTGTTTTGTTTTTCGTGGTTTTAGCTAATAAATCTGCTTAAGCAGCCAGAATGTTCAGAATTAGCTTAGCTTACAAGTTCAACAACATTCTTCTTTAATCCTTTTATTTTCCTTATTTAAATTAATTTGAATAAAAACGGTGAACTTGGCTAATGTAAACGTTTGCCTGATAGATGGCACCAACATAACAAACCGGTTAGCTGGAATAACATCCTTATGATGACAGTTTTACGTTATAACTCGGTTACTATTTGCCTGCTTGGCCCTCAGAATGAATTTGAGCATGTCACAGGTTTTAACCCTTCACCCACAGAAGTGGGTCGTTTTCATTTCCATTTTGAACTTCTGTTATTTCCTTCCCCGGTCGTCAGGGTTCCCACGTGGCAGCGGTAGAAGCTCGGTGGCTTTTCGTACGTGTCCGTCGTGGTTTGACGTGACAAATGAAGTCGAGCCCCCCCACTGGCCGAAACTTTGCTTGTCCAGTAACAACGCTAAACCTCCAAGTTTAGTAATATGGCTCATCTTACCTAAAAAGAAAACAAGTGGATCCTGGCTCATGTTTATAATGTCTGGATACAAAAAACCCTTTTTGTTGAATGGAAAAGTGTCATTTCGTGTGTGTGAATGCGTGTGTGTGTGTGTGTGTGTGTGTGTGTGTGTGTGTTACACAAAAGCAGACTCCTCTGTGGTTGCTTTTCTGCGTGGCCCATTTGTCTGCTATCACCCAGTCAGTCAGGCTGTCATTCAGTCACTTTTATAAATGCATGTGGGTGGGAGCTGGTGAACCAGTTTTGCCACCTGTGTGTGTTTTTGTGTGTGTGTGTGTGTGTGCGCGCGCAGATCCTCGGGACTGTCTGTAAGCTAATTATATAACACCTCTCTCATTGACTCCCACTCTGCCTCTCTCCATCTCTCTTTCAGTCTCTCTTCGTCCTCCTACCTCACAAACACACACGTACACAATGAGCAGCATCAATAGAATACACAGAGGTACTTCCTGTTATTGTCAGATCCTTCGTGTGGATTGGGACCATGTGCATTGTGTCCCTGTGAGGGTGGTGGCTGTCATGCTAATTCTTGAGAATGCCTCTTGATTTTTGCCATTCAGCCTCCAGTGCGTGGCTCCTGTCTGTTTTTGCCGTGCATTGTTTTGCGGCGCGGGACAGACTAAACTTTGGCCGTGTCATCTGTCAGATTGTGTGATGCACGCAAGGCTCCAGCCCCCCCCACACACACCCCACCCCGTCGTTCCATTTGAATGGCCTGTATTTGGGAGGGGGGGAGATTTCCTTATTAGTGGGTTATGCAAATATCGCACGACAACGTTGAAGAGTTTCTGTTTGTTTGTTTCCGTTAGGGAAAACCGGCGGATGGGACCATTTCAAAGGCAGTTTCCATGCCAAAAAATTTGCCTTTAAACACGTCTGTCAGGCCAGAATCATATAAAATACAGTCTCAAGGCTCACTAAAGCACAGCTCTAATCCTTCTCCGTCCACCACAAAGTCGTTTATTATGCCACTCGAAAAGCTGCCTCCACTAACAACATAACCCGTTGTGGTGGATCAGAGAGAAGCCATTTATTTACATGGTGCCGGGAAAGAAGGGCAGCAAAGTTTTCTTTTAATCCAAAGTCATTTAAAGACCCAAAGACTCATGACCGGTGGGAAAATACCAGGGCTGATAGACGAATCGGTGAAGACATGGATCCATCAGAATAACACCAGCCAGCTTCAACTCTTTAACTCATGAAATCAGAACACAAAAGAAATTCAAATGTTTTAAATTTAAACGTTTGCAAAGTACTATATAGGCCAATGTTTTGCCAATCAAATTTTTCCTCTTATAGATTGAGAAAACTCTGTCGTAGGTCAGCTTGGATTGAAGCTCCACATCTGGATGTCACCCTCTAGTTTTTATAGTGTCAAGTTAAGGTTCTTGACTGTAGACCATAAAGACAAACCGAAAAAGCGTTCACATTCTTTCTAAATGCATTCAGTTGCAACGTTTTACAATAGTACCTGAGGACCAGGTTAGCAAACATCTGGCGGCGCAGCAGCCATTGGTAGACGGTAGGACACGGGTCGGCTGGACGTCTCTGGTGGACCCCGGTAACGATCACATCCCGGTTGGAGGATTTAGCATCAGGCCCACGTTTGCTTTTAAAGTCTGAAGTTGTGTTTTCATGCTGAGTCGTTCTGGTGCGACACCTCCCACCTCGGCACGGCGGGGACGAGTTAAAGTCGTGACTCGCAACGCCCTCAGACAGTCTGCCCGGGTGTAGATCCAACTCCGGAATAAAGTTAGGCAGCATTAGGTTTGAATTGTTCAGAATCGCAAACACCCGGTGATAACTTTTTTTTTCTTCGGATTGTATAATAGATATTTTTAATCAAAGGCACGTCTTGGCTTTAAAAATTGTTTTAAAAAAGCGTCCAACTTTGATAGTTTTAACAGTTTTTGTTCATCTAACCAGATAGGAGCAGAACAGTTCTGTGGTGAAACGAGACTCTGATTTCATCGGATAGTTTTTTTTATTTGTTTCTGTTTCTATTTTTTATCCTGAGTACTTGGTTTCTAATTTTAGTTGTTTGTTGATGTCTTTATGTGATTGAACACACAGCTTCCACATTTGCTTAATGTTATGGAATCAGGCTTATGTAATATCAGGCTTATTAGCAATATGTGTTGATACATTGTTAGATATTGTTGGGCATGAATGAATGAATGAATTGTTTGTACATTTTTCTCTCCTTTGAAGTCAGCTTGCACACAGCCTGTAAAGGGGGGGACATGATGTGGTTTAAAACCAGACGCACACTTCGGTCTGATAACCTAAACCTTCCTTTTTTTTCCCCCGTTCCTCCCCAGTGACAGCTACATCGTGCGTGTGAAAGCGGTGGTGATGACGCGGGACGACTCGAGTGGCGGCTGGCTGGCTCAGGATGGCGGGGCGCTGACCCGGGTGGGCGTGTGCCGCCTCCTGCCCACCGAGCTGGCGCCCGTTTCGGGCTCCGGGGCCACGCAGTTCCTCATCCGGGGCGAGCGGCTGCGCGACAAACAGGTAAAAACCTCAGTCTGGATCTCAGTCTCGGTCTGGAACTCAGTCAGATTTTTTGTTATGCTATAAAAGCTAGCGGAGATGCTAGGTCCTAACCTTTTTTTTTAAGTAGCGGAGGGGATCTGCTAAGGTCAAAGGTCAGCGTTGGAGATGACTGCCTTTCCGGTTGCAGGTGATCCTGGACTGTCCGCTCAGGAAAGATCTGGTGTACCACATTGCAATGCCCACGTTTCACCATTGGATGGTGGAGGATCGACGGTGTGGCCTGTCCTTCCAGAGTCCGGCCGACGCCAGAGCCTTCGACAGGGCCGTGCGGAAAGCAATCGAGGACCTGGCCGAAGGTACGCTCAGCTCCACCAGCGATATCCGGCCACCCCCACAGGCCGAGGGCCTAGTCGGGGGGGTCTTTCTGTGCCCCGAACATTACTTTTAAAATGTTTGTGAGAGCTTTTTAGGGACAAAAAGGTGTCCCATGGAGTCAGGAAACAAATTGACAACAGGTAATACCAGTTAGACCTCAGTGAAGGTGGAGTATGCAGAGGAACCTGAATCCTAAAATAGATTTGCTGAGGACTCTGTCGGATGACAGTCCTTAAGGGGACAGGAAGTCCGGCACCTGTTCTGGGCGTGCGTCTCTCTCTGGTTGAGCGGGCGGCGCCAAGCAAAAAGAAACAAAGTTGACACAAAAGATGCGTGTTTGAGACGGCGGCGTTTGCCTCAACGGGGTGTTTTTCTCTCCCGTAGGCTCCACCACCTCCTCCACTGCCCTCCAGAATGAGAGCGAGCTGGGCGACGACGACGTTTTCACTGTAAGCACCTTCGTTTCTCACCCACTCTTTGCACCCAACACTTAACCCCTACCCCAAAAAAAAAATTGTGTATAAGAGCTCAAGCGTTTCACAGAGTCTGGAGAAAACTGATCGGGTCATTCATTTTCCCTGCCTTACTTTTTTCTTTTGCACTTCTTTTTTATTCATTTGAATCATTAAGACCAACATTTCTTTCTACCGTGGCATTTCTAAGATGGCATTTCAGGGTGAGATGGGAAACAGCCAGTGGGAGAAAGATGAACGAAGATAACTCCTGAACCTCTGATTCAAATGGTGTCACCAGAGAAAAAAGTCAAACGCATTCACATATTAATATTATTATTATTATTAGGGAGCAAGGCACGTGAAAGAGTCCAGAGTGCTCGTTGTTTTTTCTAAATTCAGACATTCTCTGAATGCCGTGGCAGCCCTTCGATGATTTTTAAACAGCGGGCCTTGTCCGGGGCGGCCTTCGGGGTGGGTTTAACCCAGGATGGCTTTTTTTTCCTGAATGGCTTCTTGGTTGTGTTGCCTGCTGTAGTCCCGTCCGGCTGCAGCTAAACTTAGCAGCTCTGTCTTTCACCGAGTGAATGTCACTAGTTTTATTTTTAGGTTGCACCGACTTTTAGCCACTTCTTAGACTTTTAAACAGACCTCACCGGAAAATGTTGAGGAGTCGCGCTATCGACTCTTTATTAAAGGCACGTTATGGTAAAAATAATGATGATAATAATGGAGGTATTTACAACTGGAATTGAGTTTCTGGAAAGTCTGCTCCAAATGTGTTCAATTGAACTCTTTGACGGTTTTTCGGTCGGTTAAATCTCACCTGTAACTTGTCCTTGTAAACCTTAGACAACCGCTGTCGGGCCAGATGTTAATGTCTTCGGTTTTATTGGATGGTTACAAATATCTGAGAGTAACAGCCTTTAGTCTCTGGTGGTGTTTCCTTGTTATACTCCCGATCCCCACTGGGATACGTCTACAGGGGTTTTGGGAAATAACCATAATATAAGTACTTAAGCTGTATACCTGGCATACTTGATTTTTTTCTCTGTATGTGCATGTGTGTGTGTGTGTGTGTGTGTGTGTGTGTCAGGGCCTCTCCACCTTAATTTAGCATGAGGAACCCTTCTCCCTCCTCCTGCTCTGTAATCTGACACCAGGGCCAGCAGGCAGGGTCATAAGGTTACTTCCTGTATCCCACCAACTCCCTCTCTCCTGGTGACCCTCCCAGCACACACACACACACACACTAACACACACACACGCATTCACCCTCCCTCATATAAGGGAGAGCAGCCACCAAACTAGCAGCTAGCAGCTGTTTCCCAGCTTAGTGCGGGGTCAGTGATTTACGAGAGGAAGTGCCTCGTGGTTCATCTTTGACTCGAGCTGTCTGTAAGGGCCAAGACTAATAGGTGCTCTGCTGGGAGTGTACAGCCACCACAGAGACGTACACAAACACATGAGGAGGTGAGGCCTGGGGGGGGGGGGGGGGGGGGGGGGGCAGGGCTACGGTGCTGTCAGAGGGAGGAGCAAGCCTTGAAATGGAGCAGCGGGTTTTCAGGAACTCGGCCTTTATGTGCAACACATCAAAGGCATTTCCAGGCTTTTGTTGGTGAAGAAAGAGCCGAATTTCCAAAGTAGCTTCCATCATTACCATTAAAACTGCGGGGACCCTCCCCGTAAAACAAAAGAGGGAGCGAATGAAACAGGCGCTCCTGATATTCCCGCGTCCTGCGGCTTCATTAAGAGCAAGCGCCCCCCTTTTTCTGTCCCAGTCCTACCAGCACCAACAGAAAGTGGGCTAGAAAATGTTAAAAAGAAGGCACAAAATTACAGATGACGGCCTGTAATTAGTGTTTTTTATCCAAAACGCACAGTCTGAATAATAACCTTTTGATTTTGTGCACTGCTTCCTGTAAAACCGTTAGAAGAACTGAGCAGACACCCGGTTAAATCCATGGACCGGTCCAGTACACGCCATGATCCTCCTAAAGTCTGTAACATACTGGGTGATGTCCCCACTGGTTTGGATCCACACCCATTTCTGAACTAGGCCTAGGACGAAATCCTGGAAGTTGTAATTGTTTTTGGTTGTGTTGTTTTTTTTCTTTAAAAGATAAGAAATATTCAAATGTGCTTTTGTTACAACAATCAATTAGTTAAAGGAAATAGGATAAAGTCTATCTTTTTTTAAATCTTATCAATCAAAGAGAAGAAAACCTGAGCAAATAAAAATGGAGAAAATGGAAACCTGTTGAAGAAAATGCCCATTTTCTGCCTGTTTGCACATGTCCAACAGGATCCCCGGTCGGCGGAGCAAAAACAAAATGTGCTCAAAATGTGTGGAGTGCAGTTTTACTGCTCCCGTAAAAGCCCGTCAGATCCGGTCTGCTCTTAAAAACTAAGCTGCTGGTGGGTCAGTCTCACAATAAGCTGCCCGTCCAGCGTCCTGCACACTGTCGTGGACCGAAAAACGGGTCATTAAACAGGCATTCCTACGTATTCAGGAGCTCCGCTTCCTTTAGAAGGCATCTGGTAAATAGCCCCAAACTGTTATTTTAACGTTAGGATGGGAGGCTGACGGGCGTCTCGGCCTGTTGGGGAGCTCAGCATCCCCGGAGCGCTCCCCGGGGGGAGGGGGGGCAATGGTGGACACTGGAAGTGCTGGGGCAGATTTACTGCCGTCCGGGGGGGGGATAGCTGGACGGGGAGAAAGAAGCGGAGGATGGACGCAGTTCCCTGAATTATTCTTTGTTCACCAAACCTAAACTTAACCCGGCCCTTCCTCTGTCCCTCCCTTCGGCACGTCTCCTGTCTCCGGCTCTATTTTGGCTCCTTCACAACAAGGGGGGGAGTGAAAGCCATTCAGGCAATTCTGGGCTCATCCCGAAAGGGAGACCGGCCCGTTGAAGGATGAATCCTCCCAAGCTTTTGAGTCGGAACATGTTTTGAGTCAGAAAATAACTCGAAATGCCCACCCCCCACCCCACCCCCCGTCCAGCCTTGGGCCCGAATATATGGAGAATGATGTCCAGAAATATAAACTCTCCCCCCTGCCTGTCCTTTTGTGCAGTTGAAGCTTGCAGCAGAAAGTTTGGTCTGTGTTTTGAATTAGTTGGAGGCCGGAATCGGACTGGTTTTACACCGTACCCCCCCCCCTCCAAATGGCTTCTCCAGGGGGGCAGGACCTGGAGCGGAGGCGGCATGTTGTGTTATTTTTGGACGGCTGCTCTGAGGGCTTTGTAAGAAAGCTAAGGGGGGGGGGGGGATTCTAAGCATGGCAATATCCATGTGGGGAGCAGGATATAATGGGGATGGCTTCAGAAGACAGACGGACGGCAGGACAGACAGACACGCGACAGATCTGGGCCACGAGTGGCAAATACCCTGTTGCGTTTATTTTCTGTGTGCTCGGGTGGAAGATTTCCGAATGGAAGTTTAGGAAGTTATTTTGAAGAAAATCCTGGAGGTGTGCTTTACATCTAACTGGGCCAAGGTCACGTTGCTAAAAGGAGGTGGTAGTTCTGTCTGGAGTGGTTGGACTTTGACGTTTATTGTAGCACTGGCGAGATGTTCTGAAAGGAAAGAGGACGCGAGAATGACCGACGGTGGACGTTTTCAAATCCCCTCACGATTCAGCGCTGTTATGTCGATCCTGCTCTTTAAACTGAAATATCTCTTTTGTTTTATAAACAGATGTGTTCATGTAAAGTCCGTCTGGACATTTATCAGCATTTAGCCAAACACCAGTCCAAACAGGAAGCTTCAGGCGGGGGTATCTGTTATCCTATAGTCTGACGTCCAGTGATTGTACCAAACAAAAGATAGCCGACGGGTTCCCTTGCAGACTGTGTCGATATCAACAGGATGGCTCGGCACAAAATCATTTATAGACACTCAAAGTCCCCCAAAATATGTCCTTGTGGCTTCAGCTATCTCAGGGATTTACCTCTTGAGCTGCCATGCGATAAATGTTAATTCTTTTGACCAATATATCCCATCACCTGTTGGAAAGATTATCTTAAAATTTAGCCCCCAAGACACGTGTCCCCTTGGTGAAACTGTGCTCCCTTTTTTTTATTCAATACTCCAGTCCAGTCGAGTCCCTAAAGCTTTGATTGACAACTAAATTCCTGGAAAGCTACTGGCACAGCTGATTAGTGTGAACCATTCGATCTGCTTGGAACTGTTTCACAAACATTAGCATATTAGCATGCTAACTAGCTTAGTTGCTCAATACAGTAAAAACAAAAGGTTTAGTTGCCTCCCATTTAAACTCTGGTATTAGTAAATTACACCTTTACATATTTTTTTTCAGCATCACTAATGTGAGCATGTCATGCTATTAGCTGTTAGCATGGTAAAAGTTAGCTTCCTGCTCAAGTACCCTGATAAAGCTACTAGCATGTAAATGCTTAAAGAGCTAATTAAGGGGCTTTATTTGTTCTTTAATTTAACTCAGAAACTAACAAATCTGCACATCTTCACAACACAGCTTTTTTAGTTTATTTTACTCATTTACTTCACTCATTCCTGTCTGAAGCAGGCATCTTTATTGAGAAAGAACAGGGGACATTTAAGTATTCTAAATTAAACTGTTTAGAAAAACATGATTTAGGCTCTTCACACACATATATAATAATATTATTATTTTATGGATATTTAAGGTCACGTTATAATTGTATATTTATATTATCAGCAGGAAATGATGATATAAATAGACTGTATACTTTACAATAAAGTCACAGAGGCTCATAGACTGTCATCCTGGTCACCGGGCCAAACACATCTTTAATATATCCACCACATGCACCCATATAACCACGATGACATGATGAAACAGGAGGTGTCGAGACCTGCCTATCAGTGGGTGCTCACAGAAGATGGCCCCCATTATGCCTGTCTGAAATCCGCATGTCTGAAATCCACCTGTCTGAGCTCTGCATGGCAGCAGGCCCACTGTCTTGTCTGGCCAAGGTTTGAGTTGGAGTAGAGCCCCGACAGCCTTCAGCGGAAAGGGGACAGGATGCTATTCTCATGCACACACAGACACACACACACAGCGGTTAGAAGATGGAATGTAGAGAAAGTGTGATTGAAGGCAGGAGGACAGGTTGTTGCAGGAGAGCTAAGATCAGAGAGACGATGTGGGAGAAAAATACAAAAAAAAAGGTGATACTTGATGGTTGCTTCGTGCAAAGTATTGAATCTGAGTATTGAGTTGCACCACAGACTTGAGCTCCAGTCTGAAAAATCTGTCTCTACCTTGTTAAAGGATGTTGTGTTTCCCTTTCCAAAGTGTGTTTTTTTCACCTGTGCAAATTCCAATGTGAAATGTATGCAATTTTCTGTGTAATTTTAGTTTAGTTTAGTTAGCATTAGTTTTTTTATTTTATTCACCTTCTACCCAGCAACCCAAACGTAGACGGAGTGGTCTGAATAACACAGTTCATGCTTCCTGTTTTTCAAATCAGTGCCGTGCGGAGCCTTCCTGTTTTTGTTTGTCCAATCGTGTCGTCCTCCGGCCCGGGGCCAGTTGTTTGACGTGTCCAATCACGGGGCGGCTTTTTCATCCCGCTTCCTGTGTTTGTTTGTCTCAGAACGCCACGGACAGCTCGTCCAACTCCTCCCAGAAGCTGGACGGCTCCCTGCAGCTGCTGGAGTCCTCGCCCCTCCCGCACAGGCACAAGTACGCTCCGCCGGGACACCGCCATGACCTCCACGACTCCTACCGGCTCCCTGACCACTACTACCTGGACCAGGTGAGACACGTCTGGAAGGAGGGTCTGCGTCCTCTCTGGGATTCTGTGCTTTTCCGGGGAGCAGCGGTGCTCAGGATGCTTTTCTGTCTGTCCGTTCCAGCCGATGTGTCGGATCTCCCGCCATGTCACCTTCGAGGACGAGGAAATCGTCCGCATCAACCCGCGGGAGCGCAGCTGGGAGCGCGGCACGGAGCGCCACCTGGGGCGCCAGCTGGACCGGCCGTGGCTCACGGGCTACGAGGACTACCGCCACGCCACCGTGCGCGACAAGTTCATCCACACGGACGACTCGGAGTCCTACGTGCGCTTCGACAAGGCGGAGGCGCAGAAGCACGACTACACCTACCCGCTGGCGCCGGCGCTCTCGCCCTCGGACTCCGACCCCGCCCTCGGACCCCTGACCGGCAAGGGCCCCGGCGGGTCCTACCGCCCGGGCTTCCCCGCGGCCGTGTCCTCGCAGCCGCGCTCCTTCCTGCCCAGCTCCTCGCCGGCGTCCAACGGCGGGAAGGGCGGGCGCAAGGGCGGCGGGGGGGCGGAGCGCGCCGAGTGCGAGCAGTGCGGCGAGACCTTCTACGTGTCGGACAACCGGCGGGGCCGGTGCCAGGACGCGCCGGACCCCGTGCGCGCCTGCATCCGGCGGGTCAGCTGCGTGTGGCTGGCGGACACCATGCTGTACCACTGCATGTCGGACCCCGAGGGCGACTACTCGGACCCCTGCTCCTGCGACGGCGGCGAGGGCGGCGGCCGGCTGGGCACGCGCTGGCTGGCCCTGCTCGGCCTGTCGCTGGTGGCGCCCTGCCTCTGCCTCTACCCGCCGCTCCACGGCTGCCACCGGGCGGGGCTGGCCTGCGGCTGCTGCGGGGGCCGCCACAAAGCCCAGAGCTGAGGGAAAACGGCAAAACGAACACGAACCCAACGCAAGCACAGGGAAAGGGAAGGATGGGGAAACGGCTCGGGGGGGGGGGGGATGGGAGGGTGGCTGCTCGCCGCCTTGCCTTGGTTTTTCTCTGGGTTTCTCTACAAATTCCAGACACTGAAATAAGCCAAAAAAAGATAAAAAGGAAGGTCGTGCGTTCTCTGGAACAGCCTGGGAAGATAAGCTCCCCCTCATGGCAGACAGTTCTCTCAGCTCTCCACGTGGCCATTCGTGCTCTGTTTCTAAAGAGAGAGCAGCGTTTTCAGGGGGCCTTTATTTTTGTCTTTTTTTTTTTTTTTTTATAGCTGACCTATATGTCATGTATCACATATGCAGGTACTTTATATTATTATATTTGTACACTGACTCTGTGTCAAAGAACTTGAATTGTCTCTTTGTGGTTGTTTTTCTTTGCTTTTTTAAAAAAAAAATGTTTGTGTGGCCATTTTGTTTATATTCTATTCCAGTATCAGGCCCGCTCTGCTCAACTCCAGCTACAAAAGAAATCAGACACTACACCTCTGCGTACGTGCGTGCGTGTGTGAGTGCTTGCGCGCGTGTGTGTGTTGTGTATGTGTGTGGATGCTCACGACGTGCGCTGAGGCCTTGAAGCAATCTGTCCTGCAGCTCATTGTAAAGCTAACGTGTATATAGCCTCCATGACTCTTCACCATCTTTCTTTCTTTCTTTCCTTTCTTTCTTTTTTTTTTTCGGTTCACTGAAACAAACATGGTACTCATCTTAATCTTCTAGTATTCCAAAGATTCGTGTTTTTACCCTATTTATTTTCTCACTGAACTGATCTACCAGCAAAGGGATGTTGGGTCCGTCTCCTCGCTTACTTTCGCATCAACTCAAACAGTGCCTAGTTAACCACCTTCAACCCTGAACCGGTCCAGTCTTACCATTTCCAATCCCACTTTCTGGCTCGTCTCGCTCAAAACCCGAAGCGAGGTGAGATCTTTGGAGGCTCCTTCTCTGCAGAACCTCAGCCGGCCGTCGGCCGGTCAGTCGTGTCGCGTCGGGGCAAAACACAAAAAAAAACAATCTGACGACGTGTAAATTGGTGCCCGTATGCCTTAAAATGTGGAGTCTCTGGCAAAGCTTGGCCCGTCTCTCTCTGGGGGGCGTCTGCTCCGGTGAAAAGGCCCCCGAGCTTCAGCGTTGTACAGCTTGATTACACTCGGTTGGAACTATTTTTGTAATAAAAAGGAACTTTTAATGGGTTCTCATTTACTGTGTAAGCTATGGACTCAAGTTTTCCTGCGACATACAATCACCCCCCCTGTTTGAGCGCGGCCCTCTGGCAGAGCGCACCGGTCACATGTGGAACAGCAAACTGAAGGTGGTCTGGGCGGTTTACAGGAACGCCAGCAAACTCTCCCCCGAAACCAGCCGCACGCAAAAGGAAAATCGGGCTTTAATTGTGATTCTTAAAATGCACCGAAGACTTAGGGTTGTACGTTTTTATGACATTGGATGCGTTTAGTTTTATTGATAGGTGAAGGATGAGTCCACGGGGTTGTTGTGAGAAGGTTAGCTGTGGTCGTACTGTAAGCTGAGACCAGAAGTGCGTAAATCGAGCTGGAAGCAGGAGGCGTTGGTAGAAAAAATTGCTTATCCGGTTCGGCTGAAGCAGCCTCATCAACTGTAAAACCTGCTGACCAACGCGTTCATTCGGACTTTAAAGGGTTTCCAGGCTGGACGGAGGAACAACTTATTAGTAGAAAGTGTCACCATTTTAGTTTTTTTACCCTCCTTCACATTTATAAAAAACAGGCAGTTAATGTAAAGAGTTAAGTCCAAAACTCCAAAATATGTTCAAAATGAGAGGCTAACATGAGAGGCAGCTTGCTGGCCCACATGTGACCGGCGTGGGCTGTCCATCACAGCATCTACCCCCCCACCCCCCCTGTCCATGCCAGGTGTGGTACATTGGTACATCATCGGAAGCACAAAGAGTAGAGTCTGGTCCTGATCGGCTGGAATGGGAAAGGCAGCGTTCCCGATCCGTTTGTGATGGGTGTTTTGGGGGTTTTGCCGTCCAATCACAGCCTCACACTGACCGGGGCCCACGTCTGGGAAGTGACCAGGAACACAATGACCTTTTTAAAGATGAAAAGAAGCCGGACGCCAGTGGGGTCCCCTCGGAGGGGTTGAGGAGTCTGAAAAACAGCCCAAACCCTGGAAGCAAACATCCATCCGTGATTGTTTTGCCAAGGAAATGTGGCTTACTGTAGTGGAAATCCAGAGTGGCTGAGGATGTCCTCTTTCCGTGCCCGGTTGTATCTGTTTCACACATCCTGTCCCGTGTATCCATTTGGACATCCTTGGTTTGTGGGGATTTTCCCCCCCCCCCCCCCCCCCCCCCGGCGTCCCTTCTGCGCCTTCATCCAAAGCTTCTGGGATCACCTGGATATGCTATCGCATCCTGACACCTTTTATTGGAGAACCGGATCCTTTGATGAGTCCGCGTATCAGGGACAGGGCCCAATCAGATTGTGGAGCGTGCGTGTCGGCCTTTAATCCTTTATTTCCGTCTCATCTAGCGTTTTAGAGTGATCTCACATGTCAGAGCCATTTATAAGTGCCTGAACGCCTCCTCTTTGTGTATTTAAATTGAAAAATTAGAGAAATCACTCTGTACTGAATTGGATCCATTTTTTTACGCTTAGTATTTTTACCTCTGTAAAAAAACAAAAGAGCAAAAATTATATTATATATATCAAGTGTATGTTGTACATTTTTATTTCTTTTTTTTTTTTTTTAAATAACTATTTCTAACATGTACGATGGGTGTAGCTCTTGCTTTTGAGAAGGAAAAGAAAGTCCTTTGTAGATACCGAAGGGTGGCCAGGTCTGTGAGCAAACTAAAGTGAAATGTGTGTCTTACCTTCTGCCTCTAATAAAATGAGAGAACACAGTAAAGCCATGTGTGAATAGCTGCCTAATTTTAGTCTCGCCTTCATACTTCCCCATATCTACAGCCGAAGAAAGGCCACGGCTACTATTTCAGTTCCACGTTCCTGCCATTGTAGCTGCTCTGTCAGTGTGTAAAATCTCATTTCATGTGAATAAACTCACAAAAAGCTTTTTAAAGTGTGACCACAGAAAGTAATGGGACAAATGGAAAAGAGTGAGTTTTATTCTCTGTGCATGCGTGTTTAAAGTGAATGTTTTCTGCAGAAATATAACACAAAGCACACAAAGTTTGAGTCCTGGGTTATGTTCAGTTTTGATCACCCAGTGCTGATGGAGGAAGCCCAGACCATGATACTATCGCTGCCATGTTTCATGAATGGGACAAAGCTCTGATTCTGGATTTATCGGCCTCCGCTCTAATTTTAAACCATTGTGTTCCTTTTATATCTCATCTGTCCACGGGATATTTCCCCACCGGCCCTCTGCCTCGTCTGTGTTTTTCTTCTGCTCAACACCGCAGACGAGCAGCGATGTGTCCTCATTAACGCGTCCCAGCCGTGTTCCACGTACTTTGTGACCTCGCTGATGATTACAGGCTGTATTTTTGGGGATATTTTTATTGCTCAACCACACCTGGGAGGCTCTCTCTTTCCCATCATGAGTTCACAATCCCATCTGAGCATCCATACGATCTGGGGAAATGTAGCAGAACAAATCCAAGAAGAAAAGCACAGCCCAAATGAGTCATTGATTATCTCTTAAAATGATTTTGATCGGTGTTGGAGACTTGTGAGTGCCAAACGGAGGAACAAAGAGTGGCCTCGTGCCAGTTTTTTTCACCATGTTTTGAAAATTTGAATGGTTTGAGGCAAGATTTTTATTTTTTAATGGAAAAAAGCACAGAGAAGAAAACCTCTGCCTAGTACGCCCTGGCTTCTTCTCCTCAAGATGTCTTTCCCCAGCTGCCTCCCTCCTCAGCGGGAACATGTGATAGCCATCGAGGACGTCGAGCTGTTTCACTCAGGATGTCTCTGGAAAAGCATGTGGGCGATAATGATGGAGCACGAGGGGGAGGGAGAGAGAAGAGAAGAGAAAGAGGGTCCCTGAGGGCTTTTGGGGGCCTGTTAAGCAGCTCAGCGGCTGCAAACAGCATCACGGTCCACATGTGCAAACATTTAAGATATCTGCTGGTGTAATGGGGTCAGCGCGGCCCCTCTCCGGGTGCACGAGGCACCGGCGCTCACTTCCCACCGCAGTTTACCGGAATCGGCGGCCGTGGACTCGTGTCCAAAGATAGGCAAGATTCAGCCTTTTTTTTTTTTTCTCTCTCTCTCTCTCTCCTCACAACAGGAAAAGCTTTATTTCTACAGCATATTTTCCCCAAAGCTTCTCATGTGTAAACTGTTTGACCTGCACTGAACAAAGACGTCGAAGAGGTAGACTCAGTCAAGAACCAGATGCTTGTTTGACTTAGTTTGAACCCAGAATCCCAAGATAAAACTTCTGAAACACGTCTCTACTCCCACCCTGTGGAAAATCTGCTGAGGGTTTGAGCAAAGGGAGCATGGGAACCAAAGAATACATGCATTTGCTTTTTATTCCCAACTGAAGCCTTTGACAAAAACAAACTGAAGCATCAAGAGTTGGATCTTTATTCTATGTTGCATTTAGTCCATTTTCAGGATCTGACTGGGAACAGACTTTTTTCGTGTCTCAACTACTGGATTTTGTAGTTATTTCCGAGTACATTACCAATGTTTTAGAAATGAAGAGGAAACATCCGATGGCTCCTCAGAGGTGAACAGTTCAGGGTTGGGAGGGAAGTGGAGCGAGTCGAGGGATCAAAATGGAACAAAGCCGGAGGAGTCGGTGTGAGATCTTTATTTCAGGCACAGAAAGCCAGCCTCTTCCTCCGGTGGCGCCAGGCCTGTGCCACTGTTACACTTCCTCTTCCTCCTTCGGTCAGCACGCACGGACCTGAACACAACTGTCATGTTTGTACTTCCACCCACGTCTCGTCTGACCTCCAGTAAAACCAAACATAATGTCATTCTTCATGCAAATGTCACAGGCCCAGTCAAATATTTATGAGGCTACAAACACGTAGCTCCTGGTGATAAAAGAAGAAGCTCCACCACGATCCTTATAAATCACTTTTCTTTATTTAAATCAGCGTTAGGCAGTTATGCTATGAACAATACAGGAAAATAAAAACAAAAACAGTGACAAAAAGAAAGACATTAAAACATGAGATCCAGTTAACATTAACTGCACTTGGCACTGGATAGACGTTCATGGAAAGAGGAGAAAAAAAAAATATACACATTTATCTTACTCAAAATAGAAGTGCCTCCAGTAATCATTAAGTCAACGGCTGGAGAACTTAAATATGGTCTCAATAACGTTTCAACTTTAATAAGATACAGATTTATTTCCCAGGTTTCATGATTCGAATAGATCTGATCCTTAAGCTGCGACTGCCTCCACACTTGGGTGGATCTGGAGGACCAAGAGTGTCGCCACACTTTGAAATATTGCTGCAACTGCTCGCATCCGTTTGTTCAAGCTTGAGTTTTTACGTCCAGAGGAGGCAGAGGCGAGGCAGCTGGACGAAGAACAAATAGTAACCCCCCCCCCTCCCGCATCCTACCGACCGCCTGGCCACCCGCTAACCCCCAAAGTACCGTCACACAGCCGATGTCAAGCTCAGGGGCTTTAATGTGTATTTGTCCCTTTATGAATCAACCATCAATTCTTCATAATTAAACAAAAGAAAAGAAAAGAAAAAACAAACATGGAGGAATTTCTGTCACCACGATACACTCCATTTACAATGGCAGCAGTGCACAGCAACAAAAGAAAAGGTATTGAAAAAAAAATATCAAATTTCAAGATATAAACTGAACTCATACATCCAACGAGAAGAAAGGAAGCAAAACAAAAAACAAAGTTATCCCTCTCCCGGAAAAGAAAAGTCATGATATCGTTTATAAAAACGGACATAAAAATGTGATCCGTTCGCGCTCACCTGGAACAGATGCTGAAAGCGGCCGTGGCTGTTTGTGGTGGGCTGTGAGTGTGACGCTTTGCATCGTTTGATCCCCTCTACAGCTCTGGTAACAAAACAAAAAAAGAAGAAGGGAGAAACTAAACCAAATCTAACCCCCAGCCAACCTGCTGTGGTGTCAGAGGGCGCCACCGGGGCAACCAGAACCCTGAAATCTGGACTACTATGTGAGGGGAGGATCTGCAAAGATGAAATTAGTTCTTGGGGCTTGTGAGGAAAAGTGGGAGCCGATCCTCAAACGGGAGAGAGGAGAGGAAGAAGCAGGGAGGAGGAGGAGGAGGAGGTGAAGGCTCAATTCCCTCTGATGTCTGAGGAGAATCAAGAGCCAAAACAAAGAAGAAGAGGGATAAATAGATATATACTCTGCGATGTGGGCGAGAGGGGAAACGTGTGTGTTTGCTTGTGTTATATGCGTGTGTGTGCGTGCGTGTGTGTGTGTGTGTGTGCGTGTTCTGTCCGTCCGGTGCTTTATCTGACGGTGACTCCGAGTTTTTCCAGCACGCGGACTCCCTTCTCCTGGTACTCCTCCCGGGTCAGCCAGAAGTTGTCCTTGTCCTTCATGATGTCGGCCAGCACGGCTCCGCCCAGGAACACCATGTGCTTTCGCCTGGGAGGATCCTCGATCCGGATCTTAAATTTCTGCAAGACAGGGGACACGGAGGCGTGTAATAAGTTCATGATGCGGCTGAGCGCTCCCCCGGTGAAGGCCTTCATGTTTCTCTAATCAGTGTGAAGGAGATCAGCATGGAAACTCGACCCGCGGGAATACAAAGAGAAAGCTTCAGCTGGGTCTGATCAGAGGGGGCCGACAGGCGGCGGCCCTCCGAGGATCCAGCTCTCCTCAGGTCGTCCGATCAGATAAAGAAAGTCATAGGAGACAGATCACAATGCACTATGAGATATCAATTTGTTTGCTCTTTTTAAAAAAGAAAAAACGGATCAAAACCCCCAAAACGAGAGGATGAGTGTCTCCTGGCTTTGTAAAGCTCAGACAAAGCAGTGACACCTTTTCAGAAAAGAAGAAGAAAAAAAGGCCTTATGGGCTTCAATCTGCCAACAACTCACTGAATTCAACTTTTTACTCAAAAAAATGAAGCCGACTGCTTTCTGCTTTTAGCTCAAATGCTAAAAGAACAACAAAAAACTGAACCCAAACATGACTGTGATGCTAAAAACCATCTTTACCCAATACGGTGTGCTGGAACTGAGAAGTAATGACTTGTATTGAGAATCAGACTTTGGCCTGACGATGGATATCCTCCTTATTTAGTCCCATGTTTCCGCTTTCCTGAGCCTCATTATTTGAAAGCAGAATGCTGCTTGTGTCGGACGCTAATGAGAGCCGTCTGACCCGACCAAAACAAAAGGTTTTGTGTTTAAAGACCAGAACAAATCAGCTGAAAGAGGGGGTGCAGATTCTGGCAATATTTCTGTGCTGGTTCATCATCAATCTTCCACATTAAGTAGTCATAAGATCCACTTTCCCAGCTAAAAAAGCTTCTGCTGGCCACTTGACCATGACGTTTAGATTAAAGTCACCTTTGATTAGAAGAGGTGGCAAAGAGAGAAAAGCTAAAGAGGAAAACGCCCTCTGTAGCGATGGTATGTGCAAACAGCCCGTTTTTCACCAAATAGGGTGAAGGATGCAGCTCCTGTTTGTTGCAGGCCGTCTAAACCTAGAAACAAACAAAAAGCTTCACGGCCTAGCTGCAAGTGGAGCAGGAACCTTAAGCTCTTATGGTAAGGACCATTTCCATTCAAATGTAGCAGAACTGAGAAGTATTTGGGGCAAAAGATACACCAGGTCTTACGCAAGGGCGTCATTTTGAACACTTCCTGCACTTCCTTTTATGAGACAGAAAAAAACATTCTTATTCGGTGCAAAGCAATGTTTACACCGTGTTGTGTAAAATAAAAATAAAGAAATATCACTAGTAGTTCTCTGGAGCATTACAGTGAACCTCTGGTGTTGTTGGACCCAGTCTGCTGGCCTCTCACACCCCCTGGTGGTGGGCCGGGTTCCCTGCACCACAGAGAGGAATCCAGCCCTCCCGTCTTTCCCAAATCTTGTACATTTGATAGAAAAAACACCCTCAGGTTGTGTACTTTGATGGGCTGCTGCTGTGTGGACGGGCATGGGGAGTGCTCAGCTGTTGTACCTCTCGGGCACTGAGCTGCTCTCACATGTGGAAAAACCCCACCCGGATTAAAACAAACCCAGAGAATCAGCTGGAAATATTCATCCAAACCAGGTGACAGGAAAAGAGAGCCTGCTGAGTTAAAATGAGCTCGCCAGTCAATTCGGCACCCCTTTTCTTTTCTTTTTTTAGATACTAATTTAGACGAGAGTCTATGTGAAAATCTGTAAAGTGAACTGAAAAACCACATCAGAGCGGTTTCGGCTGTGACTCAGCCTCGCCGGGCACCGTGTCAGTGAGAGAGGAGGTGTCGGGCTTCTCACCGAAAGCTTGTCCACGTCGCCCTTGAGCACGCGCTCCAGGTACAGCTGCTTGAGCTCCCTCTCCAGCCGGGAAGGCAGGCCCGGGTACATGGTGGAGCCCCCCGACAGCACGATGTGTTTGTAGAACTCGGGCCTGGTGGCGGACGGGGAGGACAGTGGTGAGAGAGCGAACACGGGCCGATGCTAACGATGCCGTTAGCTTCCTCATTAACTCATTGGCTGCCAAAGACGTCTATAGACGTCAATTCAAATACAACTGTTCGCTGCTAAAGACGTCTATAGACGTCTTTTATGTTTTTCAACGGTAGTGGCTTGGGGGACGATCGGCTAAAGTTTTTCCGCAAATATCGGCTTCCAGACAGAGTATGTACTAACAAATTTACCCTCTAGGGGGCTGTGCCACTTTTGATGGGAGATGAGCATAGATTGAAGGCAAATAAAAAAAAACTTGATGGTTCGCTATGCGAGAAATGGCGCCGGTGAGACGAGGAAGAACAGAATAATGTAGAGACAAATGTCTTTTTCCTGATGAAAGAAGAGAGTCTACTCTTTCTTTTGGTGTGTTCGGTGTTTACATAGTCATAGCACAAACTATTCTGTGGCTCTTGAAAAATCAGTCAAAATGCTTAAAAAACTGGCAGTATGGGACTCTCTGTTCTGAAAATGGCTGGCAGTCAATGAGTTAACAGGCAAGTTTCATTTTGAGTTTAGAAAAATGGACGGACAGAGTCTGGACGGACAGAAAGGACCAGTTCTGTGCACGGGGTGCTCTGCTTTGACTGGTCTCACCTGGTGTCTATGTCGGCCGCCTGGATGGTGTTGAAGAGGAGCTCGGCCACTCCGACACCCTCCACGTTGATGAGGTGGGGCTGGAACAGGGCCTCGGGGGCCTCGAACCGCTCTCCTCCCACCTTGATCACACGGCCATCTGGCAGCTGGAGGAGTGTGGGAGGAAGGAGATGAAAGGGAGCGTGACAACGCCGAAGGCTTTGGATTCTATGTGTACCGTCAGTGTGCAAAAGTTAACAGGGATCCCAATTTTAGGAGCAACTCCTCAATAAAAAAAATAAATGTTTCATGTCCCTAATGGAAATGCTCGGAAAAGCAGGAAGCGTGGAGGTTCAGACTCAGCAGAGTGAGCGTGTGTCACCATAAAAAGGCTTCATTCAGCAGAGGGCAGTGGGAGGAAGTGGAGCCATCGCCACAGAGTGGCTGCCCAGGAAATGATGTCAGGCCCAGTCCGGGCCCCTCCGGCCACGCTTACATAGCCCTCCTTGTTTTCGGCAGGCGGCGGCCTGCACCAGCCCAAACACACACGGTCACAGTGAGCCCAGAGACACAACATGTGCTCGGCAAGGCGTGCAGGGGCGCGGGCTGCCAGCCCCGGCGTTTAGACTCTGTGGTTCCCTCTGCGAAGGGGGAAAAAGAAAAAAAAAAGGGCCCTGGAAAGAAAAGCAGGTCTGGTGGAGGAGCGTGTGGGAGTCCCAGAGAAAACAGCTCGGCCCCGGCCGAGCATGTGGCGGTCTGCTCAGCTCCGCGCCGGACCAGATCTGGTTACCCCGCTCGTTTGGAGAAATACAGCCGCCTTTTGAATAACAAATCCTTCCAGGGGAACACTTTCTACAGCGGTGCTATTTCGGGGCAGAAACGCGAAACTTCTGCACATGTGGCGGCCGTGGAAAAGAGCTAATTTTACACAAAGAAGTAAACTAAACAAAAATCGGATTCCCCTGAGGGCTGCGATTACGCAGACTAAGAAAAACACCCGACTTTAAATAGAAGCCGAATACTGGCGTCCCTGTTTGAACGCGCATTTTTAATTGGTCCTTCAAACCCGTAGCTCATTTCCACCTCATTCCTTCAGTCGGCCCGACAGGCTGCCCTCCCTTTATACTTTCCTTTTTCTGGCTTTATCGGTGATGTTTGTGTAACTGCAGGAGACACGGACACTGTGGGCCGTTCAGAGATATCGGGGTTCAGATAAACTAATGGAGGGAACAAATTGGACAAAAGATTAAAAAAAGACTTCTATCCTCCTTTTAAGGGTTTCAATTTGTGATTTCTTTATCTCTCTTTTAAACAAATTTTTTCCTGCTAAGCAAGCTGAGATTCCATGCTACCGATGTCCATTTGAGGGTAGAAACTTCTTTTTTTAATAAGCTTTGCTGCTGCTTCCCATTTTTAATGAACCCCTTTTAAAATCGCAGCTCCAACAACCAGGTGACACAGAAAGTGTATCGACTGTAGGTGTTACACATTTTTATCCCCTCATCTGAAAGAGAAACAATCAGATGCTTAGAATTTGCTGTTCGAGTCAACAAACTGGAACTTAAAGTTCACAGGTTTGCTAATTATGGTGCAGATTGAATGTGAGATAAGTGCGACAGAAAGGTGAAATGAAACAAAATGGTTTTAATGCGTGTCCAAACAGTTATGTCTGTATTTTGTCCTGTAGGAAGATAAACCCAGAGTCCTCATGTGGGGACATGCACAACATTTTGTTTTTGGAGTACTTTGGACCCTCTTATCCTAGATTGCATAGAAAAAATCATTTAAATCCAAAGATAAACCCACTGTCCTCATGAGGGAAAACTACTTCCTGTCCATGACAGAGCCTAGTTGTCAAATTTATCAGGTCCTACTAATCCCATAAAAATACACAAAGTCTCAGGAGGTTCAGAAGAAACCACAAACCAGCATTTCAATCTGGATCTCCACATTTCTCGGAGGAACCACCTGCATACTTTTCCTACAGAACTGACTGGAGGAGAACCAATGAGCAGAGAGACACCTTCCTGAAAATGAAAAGCCTGTGAGCCACTGATCCTGTTTCAGAGCACCGGCCGCCGCCCACACAAAGAGCTCTGAAAAGGACACACAGCAGCTGGGTTCTGCTGACCCCCCCCTCTCTCACAGTCTATCCTGATCGTGTTTAATGGTAAATATGTGAAGTGCAGGCGTGTACCGTGTACGACTCCACCAGCACGGTGGTCTCCAGGGCCAGCTTCTGCTCCTGCTCGATGTTGTAGCCCACGTAGCACAGCTTCTCCTTCATCATGCGCACCGTCTCGAAGTCGGCGGAGTGGTTGAAGGCGTAGCCCCTCAACAGCAGCAACTGCAAAGACCCGGACAGGGCCACCCGGGGGGGGGGGGGGGGGGGGGGTGAGGGGGCGGGCGGGGGTGGCTGGAGGGACTCCCCGGCTCGCCCAGCGGGTACCTTAATGAGGTAGCGGGTGATGTCCCGGCCTGCGATGTCCAGGCGCCTGGTCAGGTGGGGCAGACTGAAGCCCTCGTACACGGGGCAGATGTGCGTCACGCCGTCGCCCGAGTCCACCACCACGCCGGTCAGGAGGCCTGAGAGGGGCAGACGGCACAGTCAGACTGCGATTTTGCCCGGAAAGGCAGGGTGGACACAGCATGGACATGGACAGACAGCCCATGAAACACCCACAGCCGGCTGCTCAGAGGCCAGCAGCGAGCTCAGAAACAAAATGGTGGACGGCTGAACAGCCCCTCACTTAGGGGCCAGCAGGACCTGAAAACTCAATCCTACTTAGAGCTCGACTCATCCGAGGGCTCTGAATCATCACCTAATGCTTTGTGGGAGTGTTTGTGTGACTGGAGTGATGCCCATAACAGTCATCTTGTTTCCGGGCAACAATCCGGGAAAGAGCTGCAGTTAAATAGGCAACAAAAAAAAAAGTAGGTATCATATATAATGAAATCCCCTCGAATACCAACTGCAACGCTGCTGTCAATGCAACTATTTTGTTGGGAGGATGTCGGGGGAAGAGAGGAACCCAGAGAAATGTCCGTCATGTGAGAACTGTGGCCGGGCTGGTCTGGCTGAACCTGTCCTCTTACCTTGGGCGTAGAGCGTCAGCACGGCCTGAATGGCGATGTAGACTCCTGCAAACTGGTAGGTCTCAAACATCACCTGTGGCAGAAGACAAAAGGGGGGGAAATGAGACGGCAGCATCAGTGTGTGTGTGTGTGTGTGTGTGTGTGCATTGATCTCTGCCAACTCATGATGGAAACACTCGGGAGGGAAACGCCGCACTGGAGCTTTTGCTATCAGAGAAAAACTAAATACATTCACCACAAATGGCTGCCAGATGTCCACTCAGAAATATGCCCAGCCCCTTTTTTTCCTCCCTCACACGACTAGCCAAACAAAAATAGCTTCAAACGGCACAGGAGCCGCCAGGCGTGTCGCCGCACCTCGATGATTTTCTCCCGGTTCTTGGTGGGGTTCATGGGGGGCTCGGTCAGCAGGATCTTGCAGTTGCGGGAGTCGATGTTGAGCTTCTCTGGGCCGAAGGTGTAGTCCCACAGGTGCTTCATGTCGTCCCAGTTCCTGACGATGCCGTTCTCCATGGGGTAGTTCACCTCCAGCATGGAGCGCAGCTCACTGGCCTCATCTCCCACCATCAGGTCCTGAGAAAAAAAAAGGAGTTGGCACGGATAAATATCTACAGATCGTGCTCTTCATTACGCCCCGTCAACAGAAGCCCGGTCTGGATCTTTCGGGGTCACTCGGAAGACAGGAAGAGCAAGGCAATCACTGCAACGGCCTGCTAAAGTTCAGGAGATCTGAGGCCGTCCGACACGTCCGGCCCCTTGGTTTGACACTCAGTTACCCAGCATGCAGCACCAGGCATCGCTTGCCATGCATTTACGCCTGGAAACGCTTCCCCTCAACAACGGTAAACCGCTCCTTTTACCCCCATTCGGCTCCCCGCATGCAAGGCAGCCTGGCAGAGTACGCAGCTGCTGGGTTAGAGCTCGGTGTTAGCCACACAGGCAAGCATCTCACGTTCCACTCCGAGACATCAAAAGCCCACTGAAGGCAGCCATTTTATGGGTTCATCCTGTGCGCTTTGGCATTAACAGAGTACCAGTCACAGGCATCGCCTCCATGTGGTCTCAATAAAAGGGGGGGGGGATTTTTTTAATTTTTTAAAAAAGAGGCCAGAAAAACAGATGTGCTCCTGTCTCTGATTCCCAGCTGTCTGCCATGCACCCGTGAGCGTGGACATTTCCTCTTTGCTTAAAAGAAACATGAAACACTCTCAGTTTGGTGAGGACCCCTGCTACCGAGCGGACATCACTTGATAACTGGTCTCTGCTTTAGAAAAAGATCCGCGACTCAGACAGATGCAGAAAATGTGTCATTAGGAACAAAGTGCTTCAGCCGGAGCCAAAAGTTTAATTTATTTTTTGCTGAGAGCTGCAATGGGATTGAGGCGGGGGGGGGGGGGCATTTAGCTGTCAGGACGCACGAGGAGATCAGAGACTCCAAAAAATGGAACCGGTCCAAAATCTCTTTTAGCACTCCATCGATAACAGCTGGCCTCTGATTCATCGAAGCTATTTCTGTTAACACTTCCCGCCTGCAGAGAGGAGTACATTAACACAAAGCAAGGCACATCTACCAACCCCCTGCCACTTGTTTGGCCAAAAACACTCCTAACACCTACAATTAGCAAACAAGTCAGGGTCTAGCAGAATGGGATGAAGTAAAAAGGGACAAAATAATGATGGAAGACTAATAAAAAAATTAAAATATTTATTTTTTAACATTTTTTTAAAAAGAGTAGTAACAGATCAAATGCAAAGAAAGAGCTTTGTTTTCAGTCGAGAGCATAACACGACAACTCGCAGGCAAGAACAGGAGGCACACACCAACCTGAACTTACCATCTTCTGGGCATTCTACTTCACCGAGGGAGAACAAAACATGGAGGAAGAGGAGGGCAGGTATAAAAGAAATATAAACAAGATGAATAAAAGAAAAGAACTCCAAAGAAACAGGAGAAAGATAGACAGGCAGCATGCTAAAATACCAGACTTCTGCTGCCTACTTATGTCAGATTAGAACCATCACAGACTATTTTACAGGAATACATTTTAATTCAAATTTAAGCCAAAATTTGGACATTAACCTTTTATTTGTTTTACTTGTGATTTCATATCATACAGAACATAAAACAAAGACTTTGTAGTTGGAGTGGGACAAGTGGGTCGTACCTTGATTTCAATGTTTCCCACTTTGGCCGTCGAGCGTATGATGGGCCTCCCAACAAGCGCAGGGAAGATGTGCTCTGGGAAGTTGGAGCCTGCATAGCCACACTTGACGAACTATGAGCGAAAGACAAAAAAAGAGGAAGTGAACAGGAAAGCTTTTTCAAAGTGCTACTGAGATTAAAAGTGCAGAATACAGCCAGATAATATCACTCTGGTCTTTCCTATGTACACCTTATGAAAACAAGTTTAGATAAGTTTACAAAACATGCATGCTAATTCATTTATCTATAAATGAGAGTATGTGTGGATAGTCGGACAGTTTATCTTTTAACTTTATGCCCTTTATTTACACCGAACCTAAATTACAACTTTATTTTAATGGCAAATATCTTTAAATGAGAGAACATGCATACATTTCACATTCTCCAAGCCTCAAACCAACAAGTAAGGCCTTCATTTGACTGATCTCTGCTCTATTTGCAGAGATCATTTGACTGATCTCTGCAAGAAAAGTGTAGCAATAGTGGGCGACTTCTCACATCTCCTGGACATACTGGTAGAGCAGGTTACAGCCAAGGTTCAGAAGCTCAAATAACTGTTCCACTGAACAATGCGGCAGCACTTCCAACCAGGAAAAGTTAGCATGAGAGCAGCATCGGCTTATCGTCCCAATAAAGACGACAGATGATTTTACTACATGGTACACTGACCTTTTATTGCGGTCAAACCCAAATCTTATCAAAACTCTGTGCGCACTCCATTTGTGAGAGAATCACTGCCCAAATAAGATGACCTTTTCAAACCTGCAAACATTTACACGCCCCAAAAATGCCTTTCGAAAGCAGATTTAACACCAACAGTTGGATTAAGAATATAGAGTTTTTGAAGGGAAACTAACTTTAACAGTTGCATGTGCGTGCTGCCGCATATAGAGAACACAGATACTGAATTTAGACTACTGTGTGAAACTAAATGATGTGCTAGAGCTCTGAGTCTGTGACATATGTGGCTGCGGCTTCCACTCTTCTCACTTCCTCTTGACTTCTCAGTTCAACCCTGAAAAGGGGGAGTGTTTTTCTGGCTTTGCAAAAGTCAGAACTAAAAAAAAAAAAACCTTATTAGTCAGTAACTTGCTGAGCCAACATCCTCTCTGAGGACTAAAATGGTTTACAAAGGGAAGTCTCTGCAGTCCGAAAGAGGCTGTGATATCTGTGTGTGCAGTTAGAAAAACCCTCAGCGTTCACAGAATAATGACTGTGTCAAACAGTGGATAGGCACAAAGTGCTCATTTTACTGAGGAAGAAAGGCTACTTAATTAGATAGAAACCTCCTTCTACATTTGCCATTAAGCCTGGCAATGTGGATTTAACATTAACTAAAATATCAAATGTTTTTTGTTCAAGGTTGGGCCACGGCTCTATCACAATATATTGAACACCCACGACTTCCTAATTTGTCCATCGTCCATCGAATCCTCACAGTTAGAGACCCATTTTGGAGCTCTTTGCAGGGTAAATGCGGGTCACCCTTTTTCCGCCAGGTAGCGTTTTATGGGCGAAGTTTGGGGAACATCAGAGGTTCCTCGTTTCACCTGACACGGCCTAAAGAGCATTGCACCCACACGCCGATGGGTGTATGCACAAAAAACTAAGGTTCTTCTGCTTTAATTGACACGATAATCCAATAAAACGCAGAAACAACGAATCTGCACATTCCGAGTGGTTGCCGAGGGGGAAAAAATCGCCGAAATCACTGACGCAGCTCTAGACTGTTTGAGCCAGACATACAGCTGTTTAAGCTAGCTAGCAGCTTTAGCTTAGTTATCGGTGCTCACTAATTGGTAGTTACTCATTAGCTTCGACTAGAACTGATGCTTATTTGTGAGAGCTGTAGGTACGGCAACAATTTGGGCGTTTCTCTCGACTTATGCGCCCTTTCTGTGTGCCATTTCCGTGTCGCGTCTGGATGAATGAAAATTAGCTGGCTAACAAGCTAGCTAGCTACACACCCAGTCGGAGCTAGCTAGCTCAGACGCTGACAGCCCCACTTCCTGTTTCAGCAAATCGCTCGACACAACGGCCCCGTTAAACGCAAACCGCGCGTGGACAACACGCTGAGCACGAGCCGTGAACTTACACCGGTTCCATTGTCACAGACCACCACTTTCCTTCCCTGGCTGTCCATTATGTAAAAGCCCAGTTGCCGCTGAACCTTCCTCAACTTTCTTCGGCAAGCCGGAAGGAAGACACACCAACCCGGCCGAGAGGAGGAAGGGAAGGGTGCTCATCCGGTGTGTGACGGAGCCGTCAAATGACAGCCTCCCGCCGCCGCCGAGCGGCCCGGATTCCTCTAAAAATGCAATAATCGGTTAAATAATACATCCCAGTTGGATTTGTATATTATCCGGGTTGGTCCAGTAACATGTTTTCGGTCTCTGGCGTCCGTGGAAATGATCATTTACCCTCAGGCAGAGACAACGTGGTTCAACCATGAATTCAAATCCCACAAATTCACAATTTATCATGTCGATTAATGTCTGTATTTAGTTCAAAATGATGCTGCTGGTCTACTAATGAGAGAAAAAGGGCCATATAACACCCGTTTTGCATATCTCTGGCTTTGATTGTTGCTTTGTTTACTTATGAATGCCTTTATGGACACACTCCATCTGAGTTATGTGATTGATGAAATGCACACACACCCCTGCAAAGTGATTGAGTGAACCCTAAATCGTGGTGCAGTTTATCCCATCTCAATAAATCCAATCTTTCTGTTAAGCAATTCAAATCCGTGATGATTCTTTCCAGCTTGAGTAATTTGATCTTCTGAGCAGATTTGAATATTTTCTTGTTGTTTAATTGTTGTATTTTTACTCTGTGAAGCTCTTTCTCAGTGGTCATTTTTAAACGTGCTCCTCAAAGAGAAGTGGCTTAAATTGAATCTCTGAGGACGAGCAAATATCTCATCTTAATTTTAAACTGGTCTGCATGCTTGAATACAGTTACTGGTTTGCAGCTAAATGAAAAAAGGAGTTTCCAAACTCCACTTTGCATGTTCATGTCCCATCAACTCAAGCTGAAAGTTTCTATAAGAAAATACATACAGTCTACAAATAGTAAAGTAGCTTGAAGTCAAAGAAAACCACAGAATTTCTCTTAAAAAAGTTAATACTTCAACCCTCTAGCTGCACATCTGCTCCTCCAAAGTTAACTGATCAAAGTGTTTAATTTAAAGGCCTGTTTTCATTAACTCTGCTATGAGATGACAGTCTGGACTATAATACGGAAATCTACCAGCAGGAGGAGCACAAATACCAGAGAACTGTTGTTCCTATTCCTACATTTTTCCAATTACAGTTTTTTATCCTGTGGGATGCGGGTCCCTTTTTTTGCCAGCATTCCTAATTAATGGACAGCTCACACTGGGATTGAAAAAAAGACGTAGACCAGGTTCCGCTTTTGCCTTTCAGATTTTATAAACAAGGAAGCGATATGTTGTAGATTCAGACTGTGATGTTACACAAATGAGTTGAAAATAGCATGCTTTGGTTGCAGTGATGCTTGGAAACATGAGGAACTTATCGAAGATGCACAAGAAAAGACTCAGGTGGATTTGTTGTATATAACTTAATAGGTAAATAAATGATAATGAATAAATGATAAACACCTGACTGAGGTGAATATTTGGCAATTATTAAAAAAAAAACATTTGTACATAAGTGGAGGAAGGATTTATTTCAAATAGGGACAAAAATGTGAATGTATTTTAAATTTAGAATGAAATACTGCTGAGTTTTGCATTTGGTTTGTGTAAGTGTGATGTCCAAGTCTTCAGGAAAAACATTCCTCTGAGGAAGGTGGACATTTTTTTTTAAAAAGAGTAATTTTTTTAGGACATTCCTCTTTTTCCTAAATGGCTGTTTCTTCGATCAAAGCCTACTGGGACTTCCAGGGATGACCTCCCTGTGCCAGCCTGCTGTCTGGCTGGATCTGAGGATCTCATCCTGGTCCCCTGAGAGCACGTGGAGGTGTGTAACCCTCCCCAGGACATCACTGACCCCCATGCTGTAGGACTCCTCTCCGGACTCTTCACGTGTGCTGGCTGTGAACCTGCTTTCATCCATGAAGAACACAGGCCCCACGTGGCTGCCGGGCCCTGGTGGAGTCCTGTTTCCGTCAGTTTGAGCGTAAACAAGCACGTCAGCGTCCTGCTGGAGGTCATTTCGGAGCCATTGCTCCCTTTTGTTCCACATCTCCTGGTTTCCTGACCTTTCGACCAGCATCGCCTCCATGCTTTCATTATGATTACTGTATGGGCAAAAAGCAGCCTGTGTACAAGGATACACAGTAGATGCCCGTGAGGCATCCGGGGTCAAAAGCACAGAAAGAATATTGATGGCAGATTGTGTCATCGTCTGTTAGAAAATGTCACAGGTCCACTTTGCATTTCCATTATTCCTTTGATGCTCTTTTATTTATGGTAAGAATAGAGCAGCAGGTTTTGTTGTTACAGGGCTCACATGCATGTTTAGTCATTGATTTGGTCATAAAGAAACATTTAGTTGAATGAAACAGAGCTTTTCTTCTTTCCTAATCAAACAAAAGAACCAGAGCAATCACAGCATCATCTGATTTATTTCAGTTCTTACAAGGATATCCAAATAATGCTAATCACAGCGTATGGAGTCTCAGTTGGAGCAGTATACCTGAATACAGTTTTAGAAGAAAAAAATATTCCAGGCCCAAAGATTATTTAACCTTTTAAAGACTTTTAAGCACCTCATAAGAAAAGAATTGCTTGCGCAAAGGCACAACTCATCGTTATTAAAGTTGGAATGGAAGATGAGCAGCAGAAAGACCTCCGAGTGATGATGAAACACTGAAAAACGGTCAGCAGTAAACAGTCGTTTTACTCTGCCCCACTTAGAAAACAGAATAAAGTGCAAAATAAAAAGAACAAACAAAAACAGCAGAATAGGCAATGCAGCTCGCTCAGATTTCCCCTCTTTCAAACAATTAAATGTATTTTTTTGTATCAAGCACATTACGCCAAAAGTATTTTAAATGAAAAACTATTAGTGAGTTAAAATCAAACAAATTATATTAGACAAAAAATCTGATTAGAAATTAGTTGATGGCACCACCCTTTTTTTCTCGTTATGAGTGAATCAACTCACCATACTTTGCCATCATTACTTTGTTCTAATAATCCAAAACATTTGCATTCAGCCCGATGAAAATAAGGATGGAAGCCAGAACCGGTGAGAGGAGAAGAGTAAGCTACAAACCAAAAGGTTCATTTATTAAATTCTAGTAATTCATGTAAGTTATCTGCAATCAACACATGAAAAATCAACACATTCTTTCGCGGATAAATTCATTTAATGAACTTTAGTGTGACCCTCTTTAAAACATGCAGCAGCAGAAACTCTAGCAGCAACGTTGACTTTTTTTTGCGTGTAACTTTATCTATTGGTGTTTAACTGAGAAAAAAATACTTTTTCATGAAGTAAGAGCTCTTAGAAAAGGAGCACCAATGAAAGACTCATGCTTATTTGTTCCAGCCCCCCCCCCCCAAAACAATAAAGAGTTTGTATCAAGTGCATCTGTTATTATGTACAAAATGACAGAATTGCATTTAGATAAAGTAGTAAGTAAAGTAGTAAGTAATATTTATCCAAAAGAGTGTTGTATTCAGCTGTAGTGCATCGAGGGATTCTGGTGACGTTAGATCAACAAAAGTCTTTCCTGAGCAAAGAATGATCGCTTGTTTACAGTTTACAGCGTCTCCTGTCTGTAAAACACACTGTGAACGCAGACAGCTTCATAAAAAAGTAACAACTCTTTCATTTAAAAAAAAAAGGGGTGATAATGTCAGTTTTAAGAGTTTGTTGTTTTTTTAAACAGTGTTTCACAGCCAGGCGGTGGACAGAGGTCGGACAGTTTTAACACTTTAAAGAACATTTGAGCAGCAAAACAATGTGCGTTTACCACATTTAGAAAAAAAACAACATACAACTCAAATGTCCCAGACTGAAATACTGATGTGAGTCCTCTCGCAGCAGCTGGGGATGAGCAGACTAATGCAGTCCTGAAGATGTGATGAGCTTTTTGGCCTTTCAGAGAGCCACACAAACAGCATGTCTGGCAGTCTACCTCCAGCCCCAAAAGTTGGGGGTTCGACGCGGGGACGAGCCGTCCTGACAGCTGCTCCGACCACGGCCTCTCCAGCCCTGGCTGGGGGGGAAACCCTCCTACAGGGGGGGGATTCACAAGCCTTAAAGCAGAACTTCATCTGTTACCCACTCTCTCATTAACCGAAGAAGAGGCTGCAGATAGATCTAAGAATGCCTGCATACCTGTGCTGAGGGGTCCGCTTTGTGTCCGGGTCCTGGGGGGGCTGTGCCAGATGTGAGCCCCGGAGAGCACACAGCTGGAACAGAGTCTTTGGTTGGCTCCAGCTTTACCTGATCAACCACGAAACAGGAATAAAGATCAATACAAACATCTACAGGACCAGAGAGTGCCGTCTATAACATATAAAACAGGCACCAGAACCTCAAAGCTCAGATTTGTATAAAACACTTTCTTTGCTTTGATTTCTGGTGGTTAAGGCATAATTTTAAAATATATCTGCGTCTTGTAATAGTCTTAAAAACAGTCTTCTGACGGAGGACCCACCGGACTGGCGTGGGCGGGCAGAGACGGCGGCTGCTTCCTGATGAACACCTTTCAGAGCACAGACACTAAGATTAACCACCCAGTTACACGTAAACCCACTCCATGTGAAAGAAGCAGACAATTTCAAACTCACAATGTTCCCCTCGTCCACACCGAGGCACCTGAGCAGATTTCTGTTACTATGGGAACCGCCCCACCGGAACTGCAGGCCAAGTGAGTTGTGGATGCCCTGACGGGGACTCAGCATCTCCTGCTGAAACCTGGGAGGAAATTAGCAAGAACATATCAGACAGGTGTTTAAAGACAGTGTGACACACAGGAAATGACCACTTCTGAAGTTTATGTCACAAATTGTGGAGCAACAGGAGCCGGCGACAGGAAAATGTTACAGTTCCCCTTCAGATCGCCAAATCAAATTAGAGTGCATGGTAACATTTAACTGGACAATCACACTCACCTCCACATAGTTTGAAACCAGGAAGTCCTGTTTCAGTTACTTTAATGGTGGTTGTGTTTGGTGAGGCTGTATTTTTTTAAAACATTTTTTTTATTACTGTTGTGCGACATGAATTGTTTAAGCTGCTGGTGCTTAGACTGACAACAGAAACCAAAAAAAACATGAATAATAGCGGGTTTATTGGTAATTGAGCTCTTTCCAGATGCACTTTCAACCTATTTTAATTAAAAAGAAGATGTAAAAAGGTTTAAGTTTGTATTTTGGGTAGAGGAGTGACACCGTTAGGTGTCTTGTACATCAGAGTTTTGCCCATTTCTGAAGAATACTTATCTGGCCTTAATTTGCAGAGTGAAATTAATTAATAATTAAATTATTGATTTAAATAGCAATTACATTTATCAATAATTCATTAATTATTTTTTGCTACAGATTTCTGGGTGTGCTTGTCTGATTCTGATAAACTCTGTCAGTCATATTCACATGTGCTTCAGAAATCTGCTTTATGCTGTTCTCACAATAATCACCTTTTTCATGTGAAAGCGGTTTCTGCTTTAGAAGAACGTCGAGACAAATCAAAAGAAGAAAAGCAGGGATTCCTGAACCGGGTGGACGGCTGACATTAGCAGCAGTTGTGGAAACAACAAGGTTCAGTAGACAAAGGTCCGAATGAGCCGACTGTCGGAGCGCAGCATCAGCACAACAGACCGGCTCTCTCTGAGGTTATGCCGTCGCCACGGCAACCTATGCAAATAGGTATTCATAGGCAAATAGGATGAAACCACAAGCTGGTGGCACTGCAGACTTGCATTCTGATTTTTTTCAGCAAATCAGATTCAATTCAGAAATCTCAAAGTACACCCAATCGACTGAGTGATCCTTTTTGTTTGTCAGCTTTTTGGAGTCATTTAGCTGATAAACACGCAGTGGATCTCCTCGATTGTATTTTTGACCTTCTACATCTCAGAAAAAATCAGGCATGCGTTCTCACTTCAGGGCACAGCTGAGCTTTGGCATCACTTCCTGGCTCTCGAGGAGGTGCAGGGTCGGAGCAGAGAGGACCAGCAGCTCCTCCGGACCCTCCACAGCTGGGACCAGCACATCTGGAAAGCTGCAGTGGAACAGCTGCTGGATGCGACAGGGCCACGAATCCTGTCCAGACAAAAGACACATGTTCATGATTTCAAAGCATCTACATTTTCTTTGGATGTTGGCCGTCTTTTGTTCCATTCTCTGTCAGATGGTCCCATCTGTCTATAAAACCGTGTTATCTTTGTTTTTCCATAGACAGAAAATGGAAACAAATGTCAGGTAGGAAAGTGCTTAAAGTTACTCTTAAATAAATGCCTCTTTTTTTCTGTTATGCGGGGACACAACCCTGGTTCATCCCTTGAATTATGGGCCTTTTTTCTGTCAGCAAGTTTCATGTCTGTGTTGATTTTTAAACCGAAAAACAAATCCCTCTGAAAATGTTCATGTAAAAATACCAGACTAAACTAATGAGAAAGAAGCCGAAGTCGGAAGATAAACTTTGTAAAACCTTCAGGAATCCTGGAGAACTACTGTGCAGAGCTTTAAGGGAAAACTAATCAATTTGGCAGATGTGGAGAAAGATATAAAGAAAGTAGGCAGGTTCAGACTCTAATTTGCCTTCAAGTGTTTGTTTAAAGCAACTATGTACGAGGTTACGTTTTATTTCCTCTCACTCCTACCTGACAGCTGTTCCTCAGAGCTCCGAGCTGTTCCCTCCTCTCCAGCCCCTCCTCATCGCCTCCATCATCCTCAAAGTTGCTGACCAGCTCTCTGCAGTCCAGCTGCTCCTTGAAGTCCGCCCACAGCCCTTCATCATCCCGCGTGGGCGCCGAGCAGAAATCTGCAAAGCTGTCACTCAGCCGGAGGTTTCCCTGGAAGGGCGCCCCCGCTTCGGCTGTCTGAGCAGATTCTCTGTCCCTCTGATGCATGAGACCCACATCGGCCAAGTCTAATCTTTCCTTTGGGTCTGGACCAGGCTGGGGCCGGCTGGAGGTAGCAGAAGTTTCCTGAGTCACATAGAGATTGAACGGTTGAAAATCCTTTCCTGTCCCAGACAAGCCGAGGTTTGCCATGCTGTCCTCTTCCTCCTCCTCCTCCTCCTCCTCATCAGTTCGGTCGCATTCAGTCTGACCCTCCTCAGAACCGAGGGATGACACGATCGGCTCCAAGTCTGCAGAAACGCCCTCAAACGACCAATCGTCACAGAAGGATCCCAGGTCGTCCGAAGCAGACCCGTACATGGAGCCCTGAGGAAGGCGCTCGGTACTTCTCTGGGTCTCAGAGGTTTCTGGAGAGTTCCAGCTAAGCCTCCTCTCCCTCCGAGCATCCAGAGGACTGCCTGAATCGTCCCCTCCAGATGAAAAACTCAAAGCTGCTGCGGCCGGCTGAGGCTGATGGTGGTCCTGAGGCGGGTGCACGAGCGCCGCGTCTCCCTGCACACAGTGAGGGATCTGAGATCTGGGCTCGGATTCCGTTACGGCCTTTACATCGCGTCCCGAACTCCCGTCCACGCCTCCCACTTTGGTGTCCCACTGCTCTGTGAGGCCACAGCACCAGGGGTGCGACACCTGCTCTGTGAACACAGTAAAGTCAGCAAACCCCGTTTCCTCCTCAGGAGAGTCCAGGACGGGGGCCCCCCCGGATTTACAGGCAGCTGGACCGAATCCGTTTGTGAGGTGCGACAAAGATTCAGCATTGGAGTTTTGACTCTCCACGTCTCCAGGTCCCCTGCTGGACTCCGACCCAGAGGATGAGTGTGGGGATTCCTCCGCGGGCTGATAGACGGTGGAGTTGGGCTGATGGGTCTCTGGTTTTATGACGGGAGGCGGCTGTTGAAAACGTGACGCTGGATCCGGAGCGACAGCAAAACCGAGAGAGGAGCAGGAGATTCCCACGGAAAAGTCCCCAAACTCTTCCTCCTCTGATCCCACCCCTTCGTCACCATCACAGTCCAGCTGAGGAGGGGTGGATGAATGCAAGGGCATGAGGTCTGGCTCCATGGGTCGATCTAACGAGAGCAGACGGCTCCGTGCATCTGGGGGAAGAAAACAAATAAAAATGAGTGATTAGTACACTGAACATGTAGGTTCCACTCACTCCTGCTAAACAACAAGCGCACATACAACCTCTCGGAGACTAAAAGTTTGGCTTTTCCTGTGTTCAGAGTTGTGTCTTATGGCTTTAAGCATCCAACTGATACCTCACCCAAGGGTTTGCATTCAATGTTAAATTACTGATTTGGATTCATACCTTACAAAGCTGCCCTGACAGAAAAAACAAAAAAGTGCCCCTACTGGGGTATGCAGGAAGTTTGGCAATATCTTTATAAACCATAGAAAGCCGTATCTAAAAATTGTAAAAAGTTAGGAAAACAGCACAATTTAGATGATCATTTTCTGTTTGTCTACAAACACTAAATTATGCCATTTAAAATAACGTTTCAAATTGAACAATAATCATGGAGTATGTGGAAGCAGGTTGTAAAGTCCAAATGGCCTCCACATCACTATTCTGGTCTGTGAACAGGTTACACAACCCCTCTGGTTCAGTAAAAGACTTCCTCATGGTGCCGTTTGTTGTTTGGACTTTCTGCTGACTCCATTTAGAATTGAGGAACCCGAGGGTAAATGTTACGAAGTGTCCAATTTCTCTACGGATAGTTTGTCAAACTTCTCACATTCGGCCCTTTCCTGTGGAAAAACTGGGGAGTGCTGCCTTCGGTCCGTAAACAGACACAGGAAAGATTACCCGCAGCTTTGTGCCTCAAGACGCCTTCAGGAACCACCCCAGGGTGAGGATAATGGATTAAGAGTTGCCTAAGTCCATTTCTCAATGCAAATACACTCAAAATAATACCTCTTATATATTTTTAGGGATTTATCTCTTTATGTTATTGCCTAACTCACCAACTTAGGGTGTAGTTCTTTAGTCTTTACAGCAAAAAACAATACAATCTTACCTTTTTCGTGCCGACGTCTTCAATCTGGACAGACAAGTGACAGGAACGAATGAGTGTGAAGTCATGTAAACATTAGAAGACACTTAACAGAATAAGTAGCTCCATAATTAGCGCGAATCCATCTGCTGTCGTTAATTAAATCATGATGTAAAAATAAAAAAAACAGCAAACAGAGAGCTAATCCCAAACGGCTCCTTATCTTGTTACCATCACAGCAACTAGCATGGCCAACAACTAGCTCCCGGAGCCGCCGTCCACCGGTGACTAACGGCTAAAAACGGCCTAAAACTGACACGTAAATCAAATGCAGCCAGTCGCGATAATTCAACAGCAGCTTTGAATTTACCAGCTCTCATTAACTGTGTCCGTCCGTCAATGCGAGGTTCTCCATCTTCTCTTGTCACCGCTCTTCACATGACGCAGAAAAATGAGATCTCACTGCGTCTCGTTTCCCGACGCCGCCTAATCACAAAGTGGAGCGGTTCTGGAAATAAGCAGGCTTTACCGGCAGGGAAGCGAGAGGCTTACTCCCGCACCGGATCATCTCCCAGCCTACCGGAGTACCTACCGTGATTACTAATCTCCGAACATGTCTAAGGCCAAATACAAAGTCGTTATTCGGCTAATTAAATGTGGCTTCAGGAATGTTGGGGTATCTTAAAAATAGGCGATCTTTGTCCAAGTCAAATTAGCCTGGGTGATAGATCGCCCCCTGTTGGAGATATGTGGAACTACATCAACAATGTTTCCAGGCTTGCAGTTTATTCTGCCATTTTACATCAAATGTTACCTTAACTTGAGGTACATGGCAAAATAATAATGTGTCAATTACAACCCTGTGACTCTATTTAATTTGTTTATCAATTGCTGATGATAAATCAGCCACTAAATGATCAAGAACACCCACAAAAAATAGAGAGGTTCCACAGAGGAAGAGCTTAGTTAAAAAAAAAAAACACAAATGACAGATCTTCACTAAAGATTCACAAAAACTACAAGAAGGCAGAAAATTAAAAACCACGAAAATGCATTTCATTAAAATGGTTGTAATTAAACCAAAATGCAAACCAATTAGCATGTTTGTCTTATATTTCTTTAATTCACAAAGAGATACACAACAACAAGCAGCGACAGACGCAAACACAACCAGCTTTTTCTTGCAAGCCAATAACTGCCAAACAGTAAAGTAAGGTTTTTAAATTCCTCTGAAAATATACTCCTCACTCAGTGTTTAAATTGGCATCTGGGATTGAACAAGCAATTTGACATTTAAAATTCAATTTATAAATAAATGGCCTCTTGGTGTGATCAGGCAAAAGCCTGCTCCAGATCATGGGATGTCCTGGCATCGTGGATCTCCACGTGCACCTTCAGATCTGTAGCAGTGCCAAATTTTTTCCCACAGCGCGAACAGCGAAATGATTTCTCCCCTCTGATTTCCATCGTACTAGAAGACTGCCTAGAGCAGATTTTTAGGTGATAGGAGTGTGCCACCATTTTGCCACAGGAATGGCAAAAATAGGGCTTCTCGCCGGTGTGCTTCCTCATGTGAACTCTGAGGTTTGAACTTTGGGTGAAGAATTTCCCGCAGAAGGGGCATTGGTGTGGCTTCTCACCCGTGTGAACTCTCAAATGCAAAGCCAGACTGTCTCTTCGAGCAAACTCCTTGTCGCACTCGGAGCACTTAAAGGCCTTTTCTCCCGCATGAGATTCGTCCACATGCCTGATCAGATCACAGTCCCTGCTGAACGGCAGGCCGCAGAAACGGCAGGCCTTTTTGTCATGGTGCAAAAATGAAGCATCACCGCGACTTGGCGCACAGTAGGAGGAGCCTGTGGCATCATTCCCAATCCAGGAGTCGTCATCGTTCAATGTGACTGTGATCGATCCAACGCTTGGGAACATGTGGCAGTCCTTCTGAGATGCGGCCTCTGATTCATAAGAGGAAACTTTCAGATCCTCTGAGGAATCAGCACTCGGCTCTGGAACGATGCAGAGATCCACCTGCTCCTCTTTAACCTGCTGTTTGTCCTGAGTTTCCTTTTTCTCCTCCGCAGAAGCCTGATGTGCCACCTCTGGGACTGATGTGATGTCTGAGAAACAGACAGAAAGATGCACTAAACACACCTTGTAATTTTTTATGCATTCCATGTGCAGTACACAGGTTATAGATCAAATATATGTGCTTCACATTAATGCTTTTCTGTTTATGACGTTTAACAACTTCAGTTGCTGGGTGACCGTACAAAAAAAAAACAATGCAATCGCCGTCGTGATGCGTTCACGGCACTACAAACCTTCTTTTAATAAGAAAACGCGGGGCTGCAAAACGGTCAGCTGGTCGATCTGGTGTCTCATTTTGAGGATTTCGCTCCGAGAGCGGACAACTTCTTCGTGGTATTCTGCTATGGTCTTTTCAACCATCCCAAAGATTTCGTCGGCAGCGGCCGCCAGCCGCTCGTTGACCAGCATCCGGAGCTGCTGGGCCCCCCACATCACGGAACCCGGGCACGAAACGCCGAGCAAGGACCTGCCCTCTCCAAGATGGGAGAGACCGTTGGTTTTGTTAACAAAAGACGACAACGTAGGAGAATTACATTATTTTCTCTTCTTCTGCTCCTGATTTTTGCCTGTGTAAAGGCGGTGGTGGGTGTACTTCCGCCCCCTATGTGTCTGTAGCGGGGGCGCTCATCTAGTTTTTAAAAAAACTTACATTGTGACGGTTTGGAGACTCCAAATGACCCTTAAAACAACTCAAAAGGCCTCACACATAACAGTAAGAAAACACCCCCTCATATAACGGATTTAAAGCATCTAAACACGAGTTAATTGCTCTGTTTGACTTTAAACTGTTAAAGATAGCTATTGTAGCGCCCCCTGCTGTATGGGAATGGAAGGAGGCATGTTGAAAATAGAAAAAAAAGTAATGGTGCTTCATTTTAGGACTTTAGTGAACTCTAAAATTCATATCTGGATGAGAGAGATTACTGAAAGAACGTGTATCAATTATGTAGTCTTTTCTCTGTCATTTTTTCCTCATTCAAAGCATTCAGTAACTACCTCAAATATTTAGGGACGGAATCCTAAACTCTAGTCCTTGAAGGCGACTGTCCTTCAGGTTTCAGATGTTTGGACGCAGTATTCTGATTATCACTGGTGGTGGAAGTTGGCGGGATGGTAGTCAGTTCTGTTTCTACTAAATCTTCTCGGTTTTATTGTGATCAGAAACTGCATCGCTGGGAAATAGACATTTACAGCTAATTTCAACACGATGCTTTAATAATTTTTAGACTGAATTTCAGAACAAAAAAGAAAGAATTTATGTTGCATGATATTTCAGATGACTATAAGTATGTGTGACATGTGTAACAAAGGCTCACTAGCCCCCGTTTGAAAAGACGTGTGCAGGAAGGCCCAAAGAATCCCAGCTGCCTTTCGTTTGTGTCTCCTTCTAATCTTCCCACAGACACACAGCAGAACACGCAATGCATGATCTGTCATCTTTGGAAGAAAAATAAGTACATATTTAAGTGAAACATGAACGCGAGGGAGTTCCAAGATGAGAAGTTTATTCATTTTCAAAGTAACCATTTTTACAAAAGCATGAGGACAAAAGAAAAGAAAAAACTGGAGGTAACTTAACGGTAGAAAGAGACGTTTCAGCGACCCCCTGAACACACCATGAGACGCCAAAGTCTGTGTCGACTGTAATCATGTCAGGAATGTGACCAGTTGGGAATTGAAGTGCTTTTCATTTTCTGTATCGTTATTTCAGAAACAGGAAGATGAAAGTCACAACAGCCCGGAGATCCTCCGGCTTGATGCATCACAGGAAAACCCTCAAGTGAGCATGACTGTTAACCCCGTTGTGCAGTTTAATTCAGAATTTTAAGTTAAAGAAAAAGCAGTCGGAGAAAATTGTGTAATATTAAAACACATCAGAGCCAAGGAAAGCACTTTCCTCATCAGGAAACACTCAAAGTTTTCAATATACCTTCATAGAAACATTGCACAGTAGCAACAAGTAGGTCTTCACCACACACACACACGAGCCTGCTGGTTACACTGTAATAAATAGAAATGATAACATGACTGTACAACCACACAATACAAGAGATTAGCCTACTTCTACTCAAAACACTTCATTAATGGGTGTGAAGCCATTTAGCCTTTTTAGAGCCGTTTTACTTTAAAACGTTTAATGGAGTTCTTCCATCATCCTTTGTGGATTTTGTCAGCAGTGAGTAAATACTGTCATTTGCATCAAGGATTTAATTAATATTTTCATAAATACCTATGAAAGGGGACAGTTCAAATAAAAACATGGACAGATGTTTTAATAAAAGATGAAAAACAACAACAGTGGCATGCTTGACCTGAACAGAAACTGGAAATGCTTCAGTCTGCCTTTAACTGGCTTACATGCACAAGAAAATGCTTTCTGCTTATTATTCTTCATGTAAAAAACAAAAGCCCCTGAAGCCACACTCATCAGTATGTACATCCAAAGTCCAAAAGCAGGGCAAAGTACAGACCTGGGTCAAATCTTACATTAGAGAGTCAATAAAGAGTCCTAAATGAGCAAATTAAGGAAGAGATGTCGATCGTTTTCGGATCAGGAGGGGGACATGAGAGGTAATTCCACCTGGTATCAATCATTAAGTTACAATCAAAGAATGACATTCAGCTTCTATAAGGATTAGGAATGATGAGTTATGCTGTCCCAGATGGAGATGAAGACGAGGTCAGGAACTGTTGCGTTTAACGCCACAACTTTGTGGTTTGAGAAAAATGTCCCAAACTGTAACACAAATCTTTTTTTTTTTTTTAACCTTTTTCTTTTTTTAAGTGGAGATAAATACTGTTAAAGTGCAACAAAACCAAAAGGGCAAGTTCAAGTTTTATGTGACTGTGCTGAAGGCCAAATGGGAAAACGCTCACAAATGGAGCCGAGCTGAGGACTGAAACAGACCCCGGATAAGAACCCCCCCCCCCACACACACACAAACACACACACGCACACACATACACACACAGAGAGTGCCTAGTTTGAGCTCCTTCACCCCGGAAATCCTGAATGATTCATCTCCCTCCTCCAGAATCCGGCTGCTGTCACACAACAGCCACTGAAACACTGCTGAGTCAGCGGCCGTCAGATCCCCAGATTAAAAAAAGAGAAAAAACATAATCACACGTTTTCTTTACAAACGCTGGAGTACACTCTCAAAAGCACTTGACAGCACCCTCACACACACACACACACACACACAAACCAAACTACTGGTTTCCTGTTTGTGTTAGAGTAAACGGGCGTTTGCCGGGAGGCAGCGAGGAGCACAGGAAGCCCACGGCGGGGAGCGGGCGGAGAGACGCGGGGCCAGGAGACGGCAGCCAATAAACACTGAGTGTAAGCACGCCTCCAAAGTGGCCTCTAAACATTTTGGATGGACGCTGCATGGATGCAATAAGAATTTAATGAGGAATTTAATGAGGTTTCCTCAAAAGTCGAATCACAGAGGAAGCCTGCAGAGCGCCCTGCAGGGGGGGGGGGGGGGGGGGCAAAATACGGATGTTGTTTTTCTTAACAGGGAAGAGTTGAAGAAATTGCTTTTTTAAAATCCCAATACTGCCTTGGCTTGTGAAGAGTCTAAACTAAATATCAAATTTAAATGGAAAAAAAGGGGGAAAGATTTTAATCTCTATGCAGAACAGCTGAGTTTCCAGGTTGTAAAAACAAACTGTTTGGAAGGTAGTTTTTTTTTTTTTTATCTTCCAGTTTCTGGAAAACAGCTGGATCAGGTCACATTTCTTCAAATTAACATTAAAGTTTTTTTGTATCTGAGTGGGTCTGTGTGAAATGAAAAGAGAAGTTTCAAAGAGTTTTGTTTAGACAATTAAAAAGGAGAACAATCAACTCTAAATTATGAAAAGAGCCCCCCTCCCCCCAAATTTTTGGGAAGCAGTACCATTTGGTAACATGGACCCACTTTGTGTAACTACTCCTTTAAAAGTATAATTTACTTTAAAGTGAGACAGTCAGGGACCATTTAGGTGATGAATTACTGCCCATAAACACAAGCTGCTTTGTAACAATATGAATGAACTCCTGGAATTCTGACCCCAGACGCATCCTTATTGCCTTACACTTGCTTTTTTAAAATACTAATAGTCGGTATGGTTACATTAGGGTTGTTCTTTCTAGCAAATAATCCTGGAGGAAGTGTTGACATAGCACCTTTGAGCAACACCTTACTACAACCTGGAAGCTAAACTTTCCAGTCTATAAACGCACCGCATCTGTAAGATTTGTAAAAAAAAAACAAAAAAAAACAACTGCTAACTGCTTTCTACCTCCACGTGGAGACTGAACTCATTGAAGGTTTTGGTTTTACTTTGATCGTTTTTTTTACCTTCATAATAAAAAACAACTTGCATCAGTGTTAGAGCACAGTTCAGATGGATTCAAGAGTCTGATAATTGTTCAAAAAGTCGGCCGAAACACCTTTTTACCTGCAGAACGTCACTAAAAACGAGAGAAAACCACCAACAGACGCGGTGCTACTCCTTGCTGTGATGTAATCCTCATTTCTGGGTAAGTGGGTCGGAGTAGCTGCTGCCCGTTTCCATGACAACTGGAGCAAGCCCAGTGGAGATGTATCTGCTCCACTGGGGTCCGACCAAAAATGCAACAGAAAAATCACCCATCCAGCCGCGTTGTGTGTGAAAAATATAAATAAGCACCATTTAGGTTTAAGCCAGTTTTATCTGGCATAAAAATCTGACTCCTGCCCGTGTGGGAATCTTGTCAAATTTATTTGCATCCTTGACAAAAACTGATTTTCCAGTTTTTCCTGAATGATTTCTGTTTGCTTGCAGTGAGCAAACAAAAAGGAGCAACCCTCACTTAACATTAAATCGCCAAACTAAAATATTCAAGACCCTTAAACTTTCATTTTAGTCTTCATCCTTTTTTTTTTTTTACCCCCCACCTCCCTCTTTTTTGCCCACCTGCTTCTAGCTCAGCATCAGCAAAGAGCTCAACATTCATCTCATTTTACAGAACTGGGGCTACAAAGACAAAAAAAGACCTGAAAATGGTGCAAACCTCCGTTTACAGAGAAAAAAAAAGAAAGGGGAAAAAAACTCCAGTTGATTTTCTGCAGCAGAGTTGCATCATGAAACATGGGTAATGTGTGTGTGTGTGTGTGTGTGTGTGAGGTCATCTGTGATCAAGTCTTTGCTTCGCACACACGCTAAACTTGCTCAGAGGGAAGAGGGGAGAAGTTAACCGAGCTTGGTGATCTGTAGATCCCCTTGTATTCGTACTGTGTCGATAGAAGGTAAAGATTTTACTTTGTGATAAAAGTCAAAGAGCTGGTGTCCATCCACGAATATGCGGAACCGCTGGTGCTCACAGTGGATCTCGATCTGCAGAGAGAGAGGACAAAAAGGAATAATAAGCAAAAAGGGAGGGGAAGCTAACTGACATTTTTAGGCCAAAGCCTCAGTGGAGGCACTTCACCTTTAGTTTACCATTTCTTAAACAGAGTAAAGTCACAGTAAATAAATCCCTCCATTTCATGACCTCATAATATTTCCTTTAATTGCATCCTAATCTTTTATTGTCAACCAATCTTGACAGTGTTTAAAGCTTTAGCTGTGAGAATAAAGCCATAACCACACTGGTCCTTCTTAATGTCAAATACAATAAAATGTATCAACATTTCTTAATTAAAAAGGATTAATTCTCCCTTTGGAGCTTTGTTCCAAAAAAGGAGAGCTCTAATTATTCAGAGGAATTTGGATGGTGAATAAAACAGCCCAATGAACCCAAGATAGTAAGATAGTTTCCCAAAACTCAGTCAGGCTGGAAAATTCAAACCATGAAAGAGGTTTTCCATCACTGCTACACATCGCCCCCCCCCCCCATGAATCACAATATAAAAATGTTGACTCAAACAAAAACTGAAACATCCTGTATTAACCAGGAGCTCTGACAGTTTTCCAGAAAAGCTCACAAGCTCAGAAATAAAAGATTCACAGATCTGAGGCACATTTTCACCCGAAATTTTAATAGAAAAATATCACTTAGTGAAGCTTTGATTAGGAGGAGCCATAAAAATTTAAAAAATCTGACCATCCTTTTTCAAAGCCCTTATAAAAACACTGGCATTACCCAGCACATTAGGAGGGTGTTGACAGGCACCAGACCGTCACATTTCTGAGTGATGGGAGGCTAAAGGCCGTTCTGGACCTCGGAAAAAAATGCGTCTGTGTAAACGTCTCTGCGTGATTCAGAGAAAAGAAAACTTGCCCCGGGCGGACGGATTTCTGAGAGGAGGGCAGCCGAAACGGGCCGTCCCGCTCTTAAAACCGCAGCGCATCATGAGCCAGGCCACATGCCTCCAGATCCACCAGGCAGATGGTTTAAAAAAAGGGCGTTACGGAGGCCCGGGTCTGAGGGCTTCTCTTTGTGCACCGGCACACTCTGACCACAAACAATGGCCCCTTATCAGAAAGCTGACAGCCCATAGCCTCCTTACTTCCTGTCACTGGTTTAACCGGCGCTGTGTAGTCCGGTTTGGGTTGAAACATCCCTATATACATATTTATATATACTTTTTTTTTTTTTTTTTTTGACGTGATGCTTTTTGCTTATGTTCTGAGTTATTGGAGCAGAATGTTTGACCGCTGAGCTAAAAACTCCTCAGATCCTGATGATTACTCAGACGTATACGTACAGCTGCTCAGCCCGAGGCCCTGAATGCATCGTCCGTCCGTACGAGCAGCTGATGCTCTGAAACTGAGCCGGGACGTTTCCACGTTTCTAACCTCCACAGCAAACGCGCTGCTTTGTCTGTCTGCTGCCGTTCGGCTGATATAAAAACAGGAAATAGATGCTAACGAAGCAACCCGGACACAAAACGAGGCCAGAGTTAACCGGGAAGAGGTCTTCGCTCGGGACAATCCGTCATTTCTCTGTGTGCAGAAACTATGGAGGCTATAGATAAGTGGCTGAGAGTCCTCTCTAATGAGGCATCTAGAAGAAAGTCTAGAGATTTTTGGAACCGTCTCCTACGCTTTCATCAGACCGTTAGCAAAACAAACCATGTGATGATGATGATACGCCTGCACATCCACAGTCAGACCCTCTTCTGTTCATAAGAGGATTCATTCGGCCCTCGGTTTATCGAGGCTCGTATTCAAATACAGCCGTATACCTCCTCAGTTCCTTAATCTTTTAGTAGAAGATGCCTTCAAATGTAGAAGACGCACTAGAATGGTCTGCTTCTGTTAATAAGTAGAGATCAGTGAGGAAATTAGGTCTCAGTTATTGATATCACAGGGAGCCATGTATTCCCATAGCTTTGTATAGTTGGTGAGAACAATGAACAGGCCGATTTCTGCTTGTGTGTGCAGTTTTATGGCCCTAGAACCCACTGTGGGGCAGCTTGAAACTGTGGCTTTCTCCCATTCACTGCTCATCTGAACTGCAAACGTTTGTGGTTTTATAGACTTTTCAAAATGCATCAAAGTAGGAGCTCATCTTTCCCAGAACAGAGTTAATGAGATCAGAAATATGTCAAAGTGTCAGCCCGACCCATAAATCATGTCAATCCTGAGCACAAATCATGTGACCCTGAGTCCAAATCCTCCTGGATGTAACTGGAGGAAGCCGTCTGAATCTGAAACGTGACGATGAGGAACCACCTCAGAGCGTCAGCCTCCAGGCCGGGGAAGTTTTACCCTGAACGGCTGGTCGGGGATGAAGGGGAAGTAGACGGTGGACGCCTCCTCCTCCGTCCACTTCCCGGAGATCCGGGCGCTGCGCAGGAACTGCCGGTCGCCGAAGCGGGCGGAGAGCTTCAGCGCCACGTCGTGCGCGGGGGGGTCCTCCTTCTCCGAGTCCCGGCCGCAGGTCGGGCTGGTGTCAAAGGGGGGGGGGGGGGGGGGGGACAACAGGTGGAGTCAGAGAGAAAAGGCCTGATGATGCAGGAGAGAAGAGATGGCTAATCCGAGATGAGCCAGATGAATAATTCTGTGGCCGGTTGTTAATTATGCATAATCCCCTCGGCTTTGGGTTCCTCCGATTCCTCCGGAGCCCAGATGCAACAAACCGGAGCCGCAGCCGGGACGTTCACCTGAACTTTTGCCTGAATCCTGCCGGCAGCCGCAGAGGGAGATGAGCTCACGGGGAAGTTTGACTCAAGTCTGCATGCGGGGTAAGGACACACCCAAACAAATCTGCTCCACTCCAGCTTCTTTTTTTCTTGTTTTCCCCACTCTTTTTTTCCATCCCTCCCAGAGAAGGAAACGCCCTGTCTGTGCATACTTAAGCACCATTCTCTCTCTGGCTGCCCACATATTACTCAGCGTGTCCTGGAGTGGTTGTGCAAGTCCAACCAGCCCCAGGAACAAAACGCATATCTAGAAATCGATCAGAATGCGCACAGACCAGTGGGCGTAGATAAAAAAAAAGTAAACACAGAACTATGACTGAGCAGGCTTTACACCAGGTGTTTGCGTACCTGTCTGGCTCCAGGTCAACGATGCCCATCACTATGATCTTCTTCCCTGGCCGCATGCCGCCGCGGATGCGCCCGCTGAACGGAACCGTCTGCGCAGAGCACAGCCAGGCCGTTAAACCCCGCAGCGAGCCACAGAACGAGGCCACTTAAGAGAGTTTTTCCTACCAGGAGGCGAGCCAAATCCTCCTTGTCCGGCGAGATGAGGCCGGCGTTCCCCAGCGAGTCGTTGAGATGGTCATCATCCACGTTCTTCAACACCAGTGGGAGAACAGAGAAAGCACAACATCATTTACGGCTCCCTCAGGTGGGACACCCCCACGAGGCTAAAGGCCTTTAAACAATAAAAACATCACGCAGCCTCCCACACACACGCGGATTGCCACAATGATACGGTGGTGGCGGACCTGTCGCGCCATCAGGGATCCACCAAAAAGGGAAGAGTGGCAGGGCCACAAAACGGGGCCCCCCCCCCCATCCGTCCCCAATATTCAATCGCGCACATTTATAGCCCCATCTGAGAGCACACGCCGCCGACTGCATTTCTCCACAGCCGTGTAGGATCTCCAGTTTCCTCCCCGGCAGATGAGAGGAGTCGCCTCGCAGCGTCGATGCGCAGCGCGCAAGATAAAATAATAATCAGGATAACGGTGCGTAAAAAAAAAAAAAAAAAAGGGAAATCACAAGCATACACTCATACGCAGCATATTGAAGCCAAAACACCCGTTTCCCCGCCCCGGGACCCCCGGTGTGGCGAGGAAATACTCACTATTCCGTCCTTCTCCGCTGCCTGCACCGCCATCTTGAGCAGAATAACATAGGATGCTGGTTGTGGGAGCAGAGGCAGCGTCGTGGCACTGACTCAGGAGGATATTCCAGTCCCTGCCCCCCTGTCCCCGGGTCCCGGGTCCCTGCGTCTGGTCCGGCCTGGCTGCGAGCACCGTCACCCAAAACGGGACACCCTTCTGCTCTACTGTCCGTCCAAAATGGGAGGATTTCTGCTGACGTGTGCTTTATAATAATTAGAGACTAAAAGCTTAATCTCCGTCTGCTGGAGAGGGCTAATCAGATAGATTTTCCTCAACCCTTCACCCAATTAGTCGACGTGCTTTTAGTGCTCTTTTTGGTTGTATTTCTCGGCTGAAAACAGATCCGGAGATGTCCCGGCTGCTTTATTCGCTTATACTGACGCTGGTGTGTGTGTGTGTGTGTGTGGTGGGGGGGGGGCTCTGGCCTGGTTGTCCACAGGGCGCACAATCAATGGTTTTGAATGATCAAACACAAGTGGAGGGGTCAGAGGTGACAAGTTGCTTAAAATAGTCACCAGCTGAATAGTTTGCGCAAAAAGTCTCAAAGTGGAAAGGAGAGACTTTCACTAAAATGCGAAACATTTTCATTGAAGTGAGCACACACACATTTGTGTTGTCAGCAGCATTTAAACCTTTTTATGTGTTCCCTCAAGTCCTGTTGAATTGGGCAACACCACCTCTCTGTGGAATATGAGGGCATTACAAGACATGGGAGCCAGCTTTTACTAGTGTGTGTGAGAGGTTTCTACTAGTGTATGTGAAACGTTTTTACTAGTGTGTGTGAGAGAGTTTTTTACTAGTGAGTGTGTGAGGTTTTTACTAGTGGGAATGAGGTTTTTACTTGTATGAGAATTTTTTTCTTGTTTGTATGAAAGGCTTTTACTAGTGTGTATGAGAGGTTTTCACTAGTGTGTGTGAGGTTTTTACCTGTGTGTATGAGGTTTTTACTTGTATGATAATTTTTTTCTAGTTTGTATGAAAGGCTTTTACTAGTGTGTGTGTATGAGGTTTTCACAGGTGTGTATGAGAGGTTTCAAGCTTTTCACCAGTTTATATGAACAGTTCTCACTACTTTGTATAAGAGCTTTTGAGTAGGTTAGATGGGAGGTAAATGCTTTCACTAGTTCATGTGGGGGTTTTTCACTGGTGTTTGTAGAAGTTTTCAGCATAAATGTGAAAGAGTTTCATTTCATATGTGTATGTGGAGGTTCATTCTGATTTATGTCCCTGGTGGCTCCCCATAACAACACGCCACGATCACAATGTACAGAGAAACACTCTTTTATACTCAGTTTTTGTTCTTACATCGTGCACTTAAAATAACTTGTAGACTTGCTATAAATGTATGACTTTTTCTGAATTTGGAAAACTTGTTTTGTATCAAATTCTTTCGTTTTCGCTCTACTTCTTTAAAAGACTCATTTGGTGGAAACTTTGGTCAACTTTGTCCACCTGTTTCTAGATTTGAGTAGTTCGCACACAGTTGTTGTTGTTGTTGTTGTTTTTTTGTTCCTGGATCATTGGTTTAGTTTATTTGTTTTTTATTAGCCTTTTTTCCTTCATCACGTCATAGTGGTCGTTTTTGGCCCTTTCTTTTTAATGTAGTTGAATTATGTGTGCTTTATTCTGCGTTCTACATCTGTTGGTTCTTTGAACTGTTCGGTTTATGCCGGCTGTGGCCATTTCTCCCCTGATTGGGCATCAGCTCCATCTCCACACCTGCGTCCAGCTCAATCAACCCCAGCTGCTCCCACTTCCTCTCTGGTCCCCCCACAATATGTGTCCTCCCTTGTTTCTCTCAGCCCTAATCAGGTCCTGACTGACATCACATTATGTCTGTGCTATAAGGATTCAACACATATTCTATCAGTTGCCAGGTTTGTCTGTTTTTCAGCTCCTTGTCAGTTTTGTTATGGGGTGTTCCAGTTAAAAAAAATAAAAAAAGAAGATAACATCCTTCAGCTTCCTGCCTGCATCTGTGTTTGGGCTCTCCTTTCACCACTGACTGTGACACAAATGCAGCCTTAAATTATGTCTTATCAAAGTCTGATGCTGAGTTCTTAGTTTTAGTTTTTCTTCTCTTTGTTTTGAGTCTGCTTTCAGCCCCAGAGCCAAAGTATTCTGAGGGCATAAACAGGAATGATAATACAAAGACAGAAAGAAAACATCAGGTGGAAAATAACTGGTAGGTTGAGAGTCTTACTCATTTTGGCTGAACCTTGTGGATGTGAATGTACGGACATCAGTAAAGTTTTGTATACGAGCTTGATTTAAGATTGTGTATTTAATGGTGATAAATCTGATTAGAAGCCCCTTTAAAACGACACTCTGGGCAATAGAACATCCTCAAGACTATCAGTCTCTGTATTTGTTAGGTTGTTGGAGGAGACATGGTGGCACTTGAAGAACAGGGGAAAACATTCAGATATGAAAAGATAGAGAAATCTAAACAAGCCGTTTGTATTTGGAGTAATTTATCCATCACTTCTTTGCAGACTTATATCAGACTTATATCAGTAGAACTTTTCGTTTTTCTTTGGCTGCTGTTTGCCGTTGTATGCTACACAAGTTTTTAACTCTTTGGTTTTTCCACGAAAAAAACATGTGATACAAATAAAAAAAACGGAACATTATTATCAATGATTCAGTTCTATCACAATATTCCGCAGGTGATGTGGCTTCTGAACCAGTGTTTCCCAATCCAGGCTTTAGAGGCTCACTTTTCCAGCATGTTTTCATGAATACAATATAAATTATATGATGATGCAACAGCAGCAGAAACGTAATGACTTTCATTGTTTTACACACGTGGAGTGACAACCTACATGACCACCAGCTACATATTGTATAGTCCTTTAAACTTTATATAAATCTGAGGAATAAATAGTATTTGCAATATTGTATTTAAACCTGAATCTCAAGTTTTCTGCCTCCACCTTGTGGCGTCTTTTGGAACTACATCCTACATTTCTTAAGTTATTTTCACATAGTTTACTCTTAAATCCTTGTTTTAAGAGTTTTGGGGAAAAGGGGATGTTGCACTTGAGGTTTATACAGATTAATTAAACCAGATTAGAAAAATAAGCAACCGAACTCATCGAAAAAGACAAATAAGATTTTTTCTCTTTAAAAAAAATGTTCGAGTAGAGAAAAAATCTTAATGTCCTCCATGTAGGGAATTCCACAAAAGGCTGTGTGTGTGTTTTGTGTGGGTGATTTTTACAGCTACAGATGAAGGTGAGCTGCAGCTGGACGCTGTGGACGCCCAGTGGTCCAGGACACAGTCATTTATTGGGGCAAATCAGCCATATAATCGTGCACAATGCATCAATCGCTACTCTGAGTGGAAAAAAACACACCGTCTGACTTCAACCTCTAAAAGTCCAGCAGCCCATCCGTCCCTCTCCCACTCCCCCCCCCCCCCCCCCCCCCCCCCCCCCCCCACCCCCCCCCTTTGCTCCCCCCCACCCCCGCCCTGTGTGGCGCTGCCAGCTGCAGAGACTCAGCCGGCTGTCCGGTCCTTCCTCCTCCTCCTCCTCCTCCTCCTCCTCCTCCTCTCTGCTGCCATGGCTGCGGAGGCTGCCGGCCCGAGTGATGCGAGGCCCGGACCCGCGGACTGCACCGAGCTGCGGGAGCGGCGGGTAAGATGGAGGCGGAATCTATCGGACGCGTTTATCTTTACCGGGAATCGTGCAAACCGGACGCGGCTGCGTGCAGCTGCAGGCCCCGGTGCTGCGCTGCATGGGGCGGTGAATGGAGGGGAAACTCCAGTGGATGCACGTCGGTGCTGCATTTTAATCTGTTCTGATGAGTTCAGGAGCAGGAGCTGGGTATCAGGGAGGATGGCCGGAGGATGAGCGATAGAGTGTGCGCCATCCCCCTGTGTGACGCGCTGATTTGATAAGGGAGAAGTGAAACCGGAGGGGTCGGCCCCGTGCGCGTGGACGGCTTATAAATAGCCGGCCGTCCACTCTCACGCATTTGGCCCCGCAGGTCTGCCTCTCAGAGCTTTAAACGCGCCTCTCAGACCCGTTTTCTTCCACTTGGCGGTGACGCAAGTTCGCAACAACTTGGCAAGCAAAGGTAGGAATTCTTCCTGATCACAGGAGCAGAATGAATGCAGGGGCTTTGTTGGGCTGATTTAGGTCAAAATCAGAAGTGTACACACACACACACACACGCCGGAGAGCATTTTCTCCAGTCGCGTCTGTCGGTTGTAAGAAGGGAAACAAACCGGGAAACGGTTTGAGGATGAATCATTCAGAGGCCGGTGGAGGCAGAGGCTGGGTTAATTTCCCCAAAAGCGTTTATTTCTACTTTGAATTGAGTTTTTTTAACCAAATTTTAATCAGAAACTAACACATCCACATTATGGTAAGGCAGATTTGGGGTCAGTGTTACACTTAGTGTGTGTGTGCAGAAATTCTGGGGAACCACGTGCGTCCACCTGCTGAAGCGAACCTGTTCTTCTACTTTGCATTTGCGCGGTTGAGATGTTTGTGTCAGCTGATCCTGACATGCTCTTTAGTGGCAGTTTTCGGTGTGTGCAGACTCACTCATCTGTGGCTCTCCCTCCTCTCCACTTCTTTCTCTCCTCATCTTCTCTCTGGGTGAGTTATGTCCTTAGGTCTTTACTCCATAAATCTCCAGTGAGTCCGGTGAGGTAACCTCACCAGATCAGAAAAGGTCTTTTTTTAATGATTATTTTTGTCTATACGACATGCTGCTTAACTCACAATGAGGGGGACGTGCTGGTCTGCAAATGTAGGTTTTGCTGTCAAAGGTGAGGCCAGCCAAATCTAGCAGAATTATGTAATGAAATCTCCATAATCCCTTTGCTAGAAAAAATGAGAGTTTCTAGATTAAAAGGAGGGAGTTAGCTGGAAAGCCACGAAAGAAGGCTGTTATTAAAGATTACAGAGCTGAGGACTTTTTGAGAACCCGCATGCCTCGTTCTACTGAAGCGTTTCTGTCCAAACACCATTAGGAATATCAGAGTTTCATAGCCCGTTTTGATCGGCGACCAGGGTGGTGTTTGTGTTTGTGTGGTGAAAGCTGGATTGTGTCCCTCAGATGGCATTCTTTGTATCAGAAATGTTTTCCTTCTGGGGTGGTTTGGCTGGTGGATTAAAGAAGAATAGTTTGCTTTTTTCCACTCGCTTGCAGCAAAGCCCTTTTTTCAAACCACTCCTTCAGACTTCTGCTGAAAGATTAAGACTCATTCAGGAGTCAGATGTTATAATGAGAAATACAGCATGTTAAGAATGTGTAACACAAATTCATCCTTTCATATGATAGTCAATAGGTGAAGCCTAAAATGTAAGTTTTGAATGAAAAAAAAGGAGAGCTGTCATAACCTGCCAGGATAGAAAGGCAACAAGAGGAAATTGAATTCAAGTGACTTGCAGCTGAGAATACGTTTTTGAACAATTAATAAAAAATGTAGGTCAGAGAGTGATAAGATCATATCTGTGAGAGACATTTTTGTCCTTAAAAAGTGTTTAAAACATTAAGAATTCACGTGCGTTTTGAAAAAAAAAGTTTATCAAGGAGTATTAAGCTACACAGTTTTTTTTCTAGCAGTTTCTTGAACTTCTGCGAGGCTCCCTTTCAAAAACAGAAGTGTTTACTGGCAGAAACTCGACCGACTGGACGGAGGAATGGAAAGTTACCAATGAACACCAACGTCGTTCGCTTTTCATCCATTCCAGCACGTTGTGTATGAGCTGTCCCTGAGCTCCTCTCAGGCAGACAAACTTATTCTTGAGACACAACACAGGAAATTAGTTTCATTGAGTTTGAACTCTGCGCAGCCTTGGGAAACACCGGTGTCATACTTTATGTATTGACGAGCAGGGAAGCAGGAATCAGCCTGTATCAAAAACATACTGAGCTAAAAAACACTTTGGACCTCACCATTTGGCTAAAAGACACTATTCTCTTAATTTTTATTTTATTATCCTGGTATAATTTTTTTCTACTGAAGCCAGAAGTGACTGAATTTGGCGCATCAAGCTCATAAACAAATTTTAGTGCGCTGTTTGGTTTTCTCTCCATCATGCCAAGATTTCCAGTTAATCATACCAATAATATAAGCCTATACGGAACTAAACATTCCCCCTTAAAAATGTCAATAAAGGGTATGTTTGTCCGCTTGACTGAAGAGCAAGACACAATTATAACGAGCCAAAAACAGATTAAAACAGCAGAACACTCCTTTCAAAGAATGTACTGTATGCTCCTTTGGAATTGGATAAGAGGTCTCAAAACAATGTGCCCCTAAGGATGTCACCAGGGACTGAACTGAATGTCCTCTCTTACCCAGACAACTTCTCAATCACTCCCATGAGTCAGTCAGGCCAGTCGGGCCAGCAGAAATACCTTTAACCTCTCTTCCAGGCTCAGTGTTTGCTGGACCCCTCTCATTCTAAGCTTATGACTCCATGAGACGTATCAGGAAAGTATGTTTGTTTTATAGTGTGCAGTGAGATAAGTTGCAGCTTTTGAATTGGAGTCTGCTGGAGGCATTTCCCTTATTGACTTTTAGGGGAATTTCACTCAAATAGAGTAAGAGTCTAAGGTTTCTGATCATTGTTTACTTTGTATGGAATTTATTCTGCATACCAAGGCGTTGATTTATGAGAAATGATTTGTTGTATCCTTAAAAAGTCTTTTTCATGTTTGCTGAATTTCCCTTTAAAAAGAGTCTCTTAGATAATTACTATGTTATTCTATCACTTAAATATGATTTTTCAGCAGCAGAATCCAATGTCATTTCATGAGTAGAAAAAGAGTCTCAGGTAATTCCATAACAAACGAGGGTCGTCAATAATCAATGCTTCTTACACAGATACAGCATCCAGAGCTTGTAACAAGCCTTGTAAAGTGTTTATGTAGCGGATGTGAAACTGATACGTGCCATAGTAAACGAAAACTGATCCTCTAATCCGCAAAGAAATCTGGACTTTTCTGCCTGCAGATCTATGTTTGGAGCGTTTCCTGTTTGACAAAGTGCTTTTTTTTCTTCCAGCTGCAGGAGGGGAATATGAAAGCTGATCTGGAAGCGCCTCTGCCCGCCGCGCAGGGCGGCTCAGCGATCCGGTGTCGTGACGTGTGCCGTTCATACGGAAAGCTGAAGGTCCTCAGTAACCTGAACCTGACGGTGCCACAGGGACACATGTGAGTGGAGCCACGCTGGCCCGAGTCGGCCCGTTTCTCCTCCTCACCGCCATCTGCAACGATGTTTTACAACCAGGTTTAGATCAGAGAGAAGACCGAGCACCAGATAAGAGAGTTGGGGAAGGAAATACCATTACTCAAACAAATGCTCTAAATGCCGATTGGGACTTTAAGGGTCTAAAAGCTTCCACAGCTCTGTGAGTCTGTGGCCCTCCAGGCCCTGGCAGTGGATTTGTGCTGGTGTCTCCAGGATGCAAAAGGATGTTTGCATTCCTGGGTGAGGTGCTCACTGCGGCTGCCCTGTCCTTTGTCATGCATTTGCAAACCGATCAGGTTCCTACCATCAATATCCTTCCTGGTGGTCATGTTTACCTTCAACAAATCTATATATCGTTTTGGCCCTTGAATCCACAGCAGGAACATTCCGTCACTCCGAAGAACAGAAGGAGTTATTTTATGTCTGACATTTCTTTTGTTTTTTCTCTTGTTGATGAGTCTCGGGATTCTTTTTTCAAAAAGACCTGCATTCCTGAAGTGACAGATGACAAAAGAAATGCTGGGGGAAGACAAACAAAGAAAAGAGACAGAAATATGTCCTTGCTTTTGTGCTGATACTCCAGGAAAATGATCAACAAGAACAGAAAGTCAGCCAGGTCTCGTATTTGAGCGTCATGCCAGGATACGTCCAAAAAGAACGGAACAGATTTATTGTCTGTGAGACAATAAGAAGCAGCGTGCGTGAGGTGTCCTACTTTTGCTTAGTTAGATTCCATTCCTGTTTGACATTGTGTGTTTCGTGAGCGAGGCGGCTTTAAATGCTCTAAATACAGGTGAAATCACAGAGAGTTCTAGATGAATTCTGATAAAGTGACAGCATGCCAGGATTTGGCAGAATTTTTTTGACATAAACTTCAAAGTGGTTAAATACAAGCCTGACTTTTTTAGTAAGACAAAAACATTGGATTTCTCGTTAATTAAATGTCTATGTGTTTATATATTTAAGAAAGCTTCAGTGTTGCAAACAAATGCGCAGATATTTATGAGGTCAGTTTGACCCCTAAGGCCAGTTACGTGGACCGGATTGGTTTGGCTACTTTTTCTTATGTAAAGCCTTCAAAATAAATAATTTGGAATATCTTTGTCATTAACGGTGCATCTATGACTTGGAAACAGTTAGCTGAGCTGAGTTTCAGCTGCATCTTGAAGAGCTTCAGGTTGGCATAAATCCAGGACAGAGAAGATGTTATTTGTTGTTGGTTATTTCTGTTGCAGATTCAGTTTATAAAGATAAAAACAGAATCTACATTTAGACATTCTGAGTTGTGTATTTTGCAAACTGTGGACATAAACAGCAAACAGTTCAACTTAGATCCTCTTGTTTTTGCACAGCTATGGCCTTCTGGGGCCCAGCGGATGTGGGAAAACGACGCTGTTAAAGTGCATTGTGGGAACCTTGAAAATCTCTCGGGGTCACATCACCGTGTTGGGGAAGCCACCTGCCTTTCCTGGTCATGAAGTCCCAGGAAAAATGGTCGGATACATGCCACAGGTAAGACACCTTCAAATGAAATAGTGCATCCTGATTTCGTCTTTTTGGTTTGGTCAGTCCTTAATACCTAGTATTAACAAAGGTTGATCATCTTCCAGGTAAATCTTGTTTGTTATTGTTGTCATCCAGCAGAGGTTTTGCACACAAGCTCCCACATTTGTTCCCAGTCAGATTTTTGACATCTGTTTTGTGTGTGGAGGCTTTTAGGCTTGAGAAAGTTCTCAACGCAGACGCTCTTTACAGCCGTAAACAGGCCCTGGCTGCAGGGCTTTGCTGTAATTTAGTCTTCGCTGCGGGGTGATATGAGCCTTCAGTGATCCTCATTACTGTCAGAGCTGGTATCTGATGAGGCCGATAGCAAACATCCCACGTATTCCTCTGTATGTAAACCTGAGCATCATGTTCATGCACATAGGAAGCGATCTGTGACCCAGAAAGGCGGGAATGCAACACCACACACTGTCTGTTGCCATTACTTTACAGGTGACATACTTTCTGAGACTGTGGGCTGAGGTGCCGGTAATTTGTTTATGTTATGAAATAGATATTTGGACGATTTATCTTAAAAATTTGGGCTTGTGAATTTCTGAGGTTAACAAAAGAAACACATTTTTATCCTCCTTTGGTATTTGCATGGAAACTCAAACTGAAGCATCCTCGACTAACAACTTAAGGACATCTAAGGAAGCCTCGAATGTTTCTAACCTTTAGTTCTACCACTGAAATCCAGAGATCCACACATGTTACTGCTTGAAACGGTTATGTTTGTGTTGCACAGGATATAGCGCTGTACAACGAGTTCACCATCAGCGACACCCTGACTTTCTTTGGCCGAATCCACGGCCTGACGTCAAAAGAGACCCAGGACCGCATGAACTTCCTCATCGACTTCCTGGATCTACCCCAGAAGCAAAGCCTGGTTCGAAATCTCAGGTAGAATCCACAAAAAGACAGAAATTTTAGGGCCTTTATGAAGCTGAAACCAGGCAATTAAGAAATGATTACACATTGTTACTGGCAGCTTTATCTTTACAGTACATTTATCATTGGATGGTTCTTTAGTTTTTTATTTTGCCCATCAAACAAAGTAACAGTTTTGTTAGAATGCTGATTTATGGTGTGGGAAAGCTAAGGGAAGCCAAATGCATTAAAACCATAAATACAACCAGTTTATGATGAGCTGTGGACTTTGAACTCTGCCTGTCCAGGGAAGCTATAAACCAAGTCGCCACAAAGCAACATGGACTGATAAGGGTACCAGCAAAAACCATATAAACAGTCAAATTGATTGTGAAATGACCATTTTAAAAGCTCTATCAATCGGTTGTTATGTATTTTACTGATGCCGAGAGTTCCAATCGGGATTTTTTTTTTTTTAAAGCCATAAAAAAGATAAGGCGCTCCTTAAATGATTCAAATTATAATCAACATTTATAGTCTTTAACATTAACCTCTTCCATTTTTTTTTCTAAATGACAAGTCAGTGGGGAAAAAAGGGGTTGGGTTTTGCAATATTTTGCTCTCAGAATTGGATAAAAAGCTGCCTTTTTTGGCAACGCGTTCCACAAAAAAAAAACATTACTGGGATGCAAGTTGTATTTTTTTTCTCCCACCAAATAAGTGACCCGGAATTTTGTGGCTGCTGGAATCGACTGAGTTTTGAAAGACGATAAAGCTGAACGGAAAAGTCAACATCCCCTCATATGCTTCCGTCGTGTCTCTGGCTTTACAGCGTGTAACTATTGGAGACAAAGCGCTCAATTAAAAAAGCCATATGCTTTCAGAGGGGCCAGATTTCTGATCATGTGATGTTTCACTCTATCATTATCGAGCTGCCAGTATAGTTACAGAGAAGCACCTGCAGGATAAAACCCCTTCGAAGTGAATGTAAACGTGTGTTCTGGCCTTTTTGTCTGACAGCCTGTCGTGTTAAGGTGTCCATCCACCACTTTCTAAAGCATCCAAATATGTTCCTCCATGTAGGAAGGAGACATGTAGTCTCCTTCCGCTTATAACCGTTTTTCTGTATTTATCGTTGAATCGATCTGCTAATGTGGGATTGGTCGTTGGGTAAAAGGACCCTGTTAGTTTCCCGGTTACGTCAGCTCACAGCTCACTCGCCTCAGGTGTTGTTGTTTACCATCCGCCTCGTCAGGCAGGTTCGGCTTGAAGGTTTTGTCCCAGCTACTCTCAGCCTTCCTGTGGGCCGAGTGGCACGCTTAAAACCCGCGTGGGCTGAAACCTCGTTTCATAATGGTCACAGATGTCTGTTGCACAATTTTCCGGTGGTTGTGAGTTGTACGCAAACGTGCGCTCCAGTCCACACAAATGGCCACGTAATCCGAGCAGTCGGTGGAGTGATTTTACATGTGCAAATGCTCATATTTTGCATGAGAGGTTATTCAAAAATGAAATAAAAAGAAGTCTCCCTGATTCCTGTCTTTGGCTGGTTTGTGTGAGCTCTTGTTTTCTGGTTTTCTGTGTGTGTTGCAGTGGAGGCCAGCGGAGAAGAGTCTCTCTGGGAGCCGCTCTGCTGCAGAACCCAGAGCTGCTCATCCTGGACGAGCCCACCGTGGGAGTGGACCCCGTCCTCAGGGCTAAGTACGCCACATCCAGCTGTTCGCTTTTTCATCTGACACCCGTTAATGAAAACGATCAACGTTCAATACGCATAAAAATCAATCGCCTGCCAAATTGAGTTTTATTTCTCTTTATGGTCCCGTTTTGATTATCCTTTATGGCCCTTTTTATCATGGGTTTTTATAAATGTCATTCAGCTTTCTGCATGTCTCCACTGGGGATTTTTCTGTGACATTTTCTGGTCTTTGGAGACCTCAGAAGCCACCAGTTCTCTGTTCACCATCCTTTCACCGCATGAGCTGGTTGCTTTAAATAATTTGAATATTTTAAATGTTATAATTTAAATATTTGCATAAATAATGCGCACATGCCATTTTATTTGAACCAACTACCAGCGAGAAGGGTCATATCGATCAGTAGAATTAAACCACTGATAAGGATTTGCTTTAATTATGAGCTGCCTTCGTTACCCATATCTAACTATACTAACTTCTGCTTTTAAGATGCTTTTTTTTGGTCATCTTTTCCACCTGAAGCCGCTACTTAGGAGCTCCGTTGGATTACCTCCCTAAAGATTACATGCTTGCATGTGTGCAGCTATTGCCTCGGAGACATGGTGGGCTGAATATTACGACCTGACAAGTCATAAATGTCTATTTTTGTGCTCAGGCATCTCTGAGTGGGCTTTAGAAAGGCAGACATTGTCAAAGCGTGCTGCTCCCCCTCGGGTGTTGCCACAGTCGCATTGTGAAATGGCAAAGCCTAGACGGATCAGGCAGCTGGCAGAGAAAAGTCCACCAGCGATCAGGGCAGGTGTTATGTAATCCGCTGGTTTCTGGGGGTTTTCTTCTAGGATCTGGCAACATCTGGTGGAGATCGTCAAGACGGGAAAAACCTCTGTCATCATCACTACACACTATATAGAGGAGGCCCGACAAGCCAATGTGGTGAGACAAATTTGACATATTTATATTAATTAACACCCAATTCAAGCATAAATACACATTCAGGAGTATGGGCAGAGAATCCACATAACAATTCTCTCTTGTCCTGCTCTCTTTCCCCTCATATGGTCGTAATGACCCAGCACGAACGATGGTATTTGCATTTATTAGCACTGACAGGCTGTACAAAAGGTTGAATTTGGCCAGGGCACGAGAGACGTTTCACAGAGGCTTCCTTGTCTGTTTATTTAAGCATGGCATGCACCGCACTGCATGGCATGTTTCTACTCTGTAGAGGGCTGGCATAAACAATTACAAGAGACTCAAACGTGCCCACTTTGGTTATGCTTGAATAACACTGCAGACAAATGAAGCAACACCCCGTTTTCTGAAGTGATTTGACCATTAAAAAACAAAGTTGTGCCATTATACAGATTTTAAGTAGATTTACAAACATATTCTGCTCACGGAGGGAAGATAACTTTCTGATTTACAACTCTGTTTCATGTTTTAGTTGATGCATTTGAAATATTCCATGTTTTACATAGATGTTCTAGTCATGTTGTTTATCTACTCAATCATGGTGCTGCAGAAGAAGCAATGACTTAGTTGGTCACATTTGTGAAAAATAAGTGTTATAAATAAAAGCTCAGGCTTCCTCAAGGTAATCATAAACTGCAGGGACCTGTTTATTAAAAAAAGGAGGGACTCAAGACAGGAAGAAAGAAGACAAAAAAACAAAAGTTTAAGAGAAAGCTGTGTGAGAAGTTCAAGTGGGAACCAAAAGGAAATTACAAAAGGGGAAGAAAAACCAAAACAATTCACAACGCCTGATTTGTTTCAGCCCAAAGATGAAAGTCATGCCTAACACTTTGCATAGTCTGAACTACACCCTGGAAACATCCGAATCCCGATAAAACACTGAGTGCTAGTAAAGGTTTTACGGCAGCTGTGCTCATTTCTGTCCAAACTGCTTCATGATGGAAAGCTCCCAGCTGAGAAACAAGGCCACACACAGCCTATAGCGCCATGCTTTCTCAAAATCACAAATCCTTTAATTCCACGAGTTCATTCTCTGTTTCACCGGTAATCGTCTTTGCTAAGCCAAGTATTTTACAGCTGGAAGTTTGGATTGTAGATTAGCTTCCTGGAAGCCATCCCCTTTGTATTACAAATTAATTTCTGGATCACGATTAAACTAAATTTATTTCACTATCGATTGGCAAAAATGATAGCGACTGTGTAGCAACAAAATAAACGTATTCTGAAAGTATGGACAAAAATAAAGAAAGCTGAACTATCACTTCTGGTTATTTTTGGATAAGCTTCAGTACAGATCTCTGATAAGAAAACACTTCTTCTTTTCTTCACGCAGAGAAGCTGCACTCTTGACATGGATTGTGCTGCAACCGCTCAAAAAGCTAGATCTACAGATAGGCATGTGTCGAGATCAAGACGCACAGAAAAGTCTGCTCGGCTAGCAGAAAGATAAAAATAAATAAATAAAAGGCTGATGTTATCAGCACACTCTGCTTCACGCCGCTGCTAACTGGGAGGTTTCTGCATGTTTCTGCGTCTCAGTGCAGCATTTGTTGTCACATGATGGTTTGGGTGCTGCTTAAGGAGATTTCCCGGCCTGGTTGAGGGTTAGTCTGCAAAACACTTACTACGAACGCCATCAGCTATCTGCATCACGCTGCCCGTGTCCCACAATGCTTCTGCCTCTGTGCAAAGTTGTTAATCTCCCCCCACGTGTCGGCAGGCGTCCCTGGATCAGTTTGCCTGGAGCAGAAGTATTTACACTATGCCGCTCCAGCCTGAACCACTGCATAGCTTAAAACGTTTTCTGGAGCTTGTACAAGATCCCGGGTCACTTTCGCTCCACTGTGATGAGACTCACGTATTCAATAAGCCCCAAAAAACCAGTCGGGCCGCTCGCTGGTGTATGCCTTTGGGGCTGAATGACAGCTGGATGAGAGACGGTCGCATCAGCCGAAGGAGGAGTGACGCAGATTTGCCGATGAATTTATTTTCATGGCCCTCCGACCTCGACAGAAGTATGCCAGCAGGCAGTTCAGCTATGTGCAGCTCTATTGCAAAGGAATTTGTTTTACTGGGTCATGTCAGTGCGACCTGGCACACTGTACTTTTATCAGCCCGACACGCTCTGATGTAAGGCGTAAACGTGAACACCTTTGCAGGTGTAGCTTAGGGTCACAGCACATGCACAGAGGAGGCTGAAAGATACAGTTTACCATGAAAAGTCAGCATTTATTCTTGATAATAGTGAGCACATTACAGCTGTATGACACCCTCATGTTTAATACTTTTATGTTTTTTTCATTTAGTAATGCTGTGTTTGCTTCTTGAGGAAAACTTGGTGCACTAGAGAGGATAAATTCTTCTTCTACAAGAAAACATTGACATTTAGTGGGAAGCAAACAATCTAAGTGGCTAAAACACTGTTTCTTATTTTAACGTGAAACTATGTGCGTGAAGGTAAACGTCTGTGACTGTGTTTGTTCAGCAGGATATGTGCATCAGTTTCAAAGCTCATAGATGTTTTTGTTAGCAATAAATAGCACAAAAATTAAGGAAACTAATGTCAAATAATGAGAACATTCTCATCTTGTGAGTGACATTTTTATTTCTCTGTGCATCTTTAGGTTGGTCTCATGCGAAATGGACATTTACTGGCAGAAGGTCCTCCAGAGGCCGTCATGAAACTGCACAGTGCAACAGTAAGAAGGGGCTTTTTCAACCTTAGAGGCGGTTTGTGAAACCTGAACATTCAAACAGCTCGTATCTCTAAGCTGCTGCAGGTTTCCAGCCTGTATTTTCACACGCCAGCAGACAATCTAAACCATGTTCTGTGTGGTCTCCCTCTGTTTGACCCTCTTTGTCGTCCACTGCAGACCCTGGAACATGCATTCCTGCAGCTGTGTGAGACGACAGACCAGAACGGTATAAAACGGGGGTCCGGTCTGCAGAGTGGCGCTTTGGAGAGCAGCCAATCGTTTGAAAGCGGGCGGGACGAGAGTGAACCAATCCTGGGGATTGGACAAGCAGTCACAGATGAAGTCAAATGTTCAGGTAGACTGGATTTCCTTCCAGGAAGAGTAAAACGACCAAACTTGTATTACTTTAAATAACTTCCTTACCTATCCCGCTATTTATTTGTTAAGGAAATAACATTTTTTAAGCCTGCCTATTCAAAATGTGCTTTTTTTTGGGGTGCTGTACAGTTCGGTTGGAGCACATCTAATATGGTTTTAAGGTCTTCTGAATCTCCCTCCTCCCTTGCAACCCTCCCATGCTTTTGAACGTGTTCACATCCACTCCAGTCAGCATGTGGCCTTCGAGCCTTTGGGGCTTAGATTAGAGCATCTGAGGGCAGCCGCCTGCACACACACATACTCAGACAAGGCTGAAAACGGCTTTATAAACCACTTATCAGAAAGTCCTTATCTATTGTCAGTGCAGATATGGAGCATCATCACCTGGCTGATTTACATCTAGGTTTGATTGTCTTTGAACTCTCTCAGGGGAAATACCTGACAGGTTTTTACTCTCAGGTATGCTCCGCGCATAGTTGGCAACGGCTTCTTTGCTGTGAAGTTTATTTAGGAGGATGTATTACTCCGCACGCGTCGATCATCACAAAGACTTTTCGTTTTGTTTCCTTCAGTTTTCAGAATGACTTAGATAATCACAATCCGGTCCAGATTTATAAAGCACTTTACACACCACAAAGGACTAAAGCGCTGAACAGAATCCCTAAAACATTCTAATTACAACACAGCCACAAATACTAGAATCCAAAATACTTTAAAAACAATCTGCCATAAACACAGTTTTACAATCCATCCCTCTCTCCGTCCACATAATAAATTCAAAATGAAACGCATTTGCTCAATACTTTTTCCAAATTTAGTTAGGCTGCAAACTTTAACTCTTTTTGAGCTGTCAGAGTGAGCTATTTTTTTCAAAAGTGAGCTCCTAAAAGAAAAAGGATGTTCATTGAAGTGTTTCAGAGAGAAAGTCTATACAGATGCTCCTAATATATATGAAAAAATGTACCTTTAAATGTTCATTATTTTTGTAGAAAACTTGTTGTGGCACACATGTTTAATTTGGTCATAACTACAACATGACTGGGGCCTTTTTGTCTGTAGAATCTGTTTTGTAAAGTCTTTTCTGGGGTTGTTTTTTTTAATCCAGCGGACTGGAAGGCTCGGGCCCGGCACATTCTGCCGAAGGGGAGAAACATCGCCGCCCTGATCATCAAAACCATCGTGCGGATGAAGAGAATGCCGGGGTGCGTAGAGCTCTGCCCTCACATGCTCTAATCTCCGGTCGGCTCCAGCCGGTTAGCGCCTGGTTGACGCTGTTTCCTGTGTGCTCGCAGCTCGCTGTGTTTCCAGTTCCTGCTGCCCGTCATCCAGATCTCTCTGATCTGTCTGTGCGTCGGAGGAGACCCGAAGGGGATCCAGGTTGCCGTGGTGAACAACGAGACGTCCCCCTCCTCTTTTAGCCATTCTTTGCTCTCCTTCTTGGACAACTCCAGTGTGCGCCAGGTACCCGTTTGGCCCTGAGGAGCTGTGATAAACACCAGAACTTTCTCTGAACAGACTCTGTTTGTTCAGTTTTTCTCTTGTAGATTCTCATTTCATTCAGCCACACTCAGAGTTCACTTTATTTGTCTTCATGGCTCTGTGGCAGAAACAGCTTAGCGTCTGTTCCTGAAATAGAAAAGTCACTTTCTCTGTTGTTCAACTGAATTGGACTTTAAGCAAACGAGTTTCAATTCCTCTTATAGCAGAACAGACACTCGACGCTTCCTCTTTCTAGGAAGCTTTTTCCTGAGGTCAAAAGTCAAAGTTTACTGTTTCACCCTCGTACAGTAATGAGATTAAAGTTTAGTCACAGAAAGAAAGTTATTCTAAAATATTATTAGCATCATGAAATGGATATCAGTCTCTAGGTTTGCACTATATGTTTGTTTTTTTCTTTTTCATCATAAGTCGGACTTATACTTTATTAGACCGGGGGTGTCCTGCAGGTTTTAGAGGTTTCCCTGCTTCAACACACCTGATTCCGATAAAATCGATTCACTTCAAAGCTCTGCACATTGATGTGATTCATGTGTGAAACCTCTTAAACCTGCATGCCAGCAGCCCTCAAGGACCAATATTTGGACAACCCTGTAATACCTTGGATTGTTTGCCATAGAGAAGAATGAATTTGGAGAATTCGCCCCTTTGCTTCCATGCAGCCAGAATCCCTTTAAAGGCAAAAGCGGAATATGTCATTTGCTTCTGTTTTTTGGGTCCACAGGTGCCCCTATCTCACAATGAAGCTTTTGAGGGGGTCTATAAGGGAGAGTACTGGGGTGTCATTGGCTTTGGAAAGAACTTCACCAGCTACCTCACCAAACGGTAAGAGACACCGGTGGAGATGACCAATCATTTAAATATGGAAAGCAAAAGAGAGTCCACTCCTCTTAATCCAGTTTATCTTGATCTTGATTTTAGACACAGAAATGAGAGATCCATATCACATAAGATAATGGCTGCATAAGAGCTGTTCTTATTGTTTCAAACTCTTCAAACCAACATGTTTTAGAACTAAATGCTGTAATATTTGCATAATGTTGTACTTAATTAACATGTCATAATTTAGGAAATGTCATGCCAAGCCTCATAATCCTGGAAAAATATGGAGGTGTTAGTGTTGTTTGGTAAAGCCATTACAGGCAGTGCTGACACTTTTTAGTGTCAGCCCCCCCCCCCCCCCCCCACACACACACACACCCCCGGTGTCATTCCTTCCTCATTTGTGTGACTGCGTACGGTTTCAGTTGGACAGGCAGCAGAGACTGGTTTTCGTATTATTCAGCACCTGTGGCACAGTTTTAAATTGCAGCTGGCTCCATAATACACAACGGTGTCACACAGACAAAGAAAATTCCAGCTGTGGTTGTTCAGACGCACTTATCTTACAGAGAAATATGCCGGGCACACACACACACACACACACACACACACACACACACACATCCTCTGCACACCCGGCTGCACATGAGCACTCACTGATTGTTTGTCTAAACAGCTATTTCACCCTCTGATATTTAGAACTTGTTTGCCACCCGTACTCACTCATACTTTATTGCTAATCCACGATTGTTTCCAACTTTTGACATTTGTTTAAAGAGAGGATTGAAAGGCATTTAGCTTCCGGCACCATGTATTAATAATGTCATGAACAGTTCATACATGGGTGCAGATTTTAGGTCATTATTACTAGAAGAGAGGGTATTTATAGATTTAATCTTCCTACGGAAGCATTATATAGCCTGAATGTAAAACACTTTTCGACAACAGTGGCGTAATTAAACCTTTTTTTAATGGTTTTAAACATGACATTTACATTGAAATGTAAAACAGGACTATTAAAATAGATAAGAGACAATATAACTTACCATGGTTGCTCAGTCCACATGCACTGATTCACTCTTTCTCTCTCTGCTGTTTAATTTTAAGTGAAATACATTTTAACACCTTACAGTACGTTCATACATCTGAAGTAGGTCTTCCTTAAACCCCTCGCTCCAAAAAAAGGAGATCTTTGGGGATTCTGGCGTGTTTGTTGCCAGGACATAATGAGTCTTTGAGTCCTCCATGGGGAGTTTTGACCCCCCCTCGGTCCTGCTGAGGGAGGCTGCTCCTGCGGGGAGCCGACTGTATCCGATGTCGGCGAGTTTCCAAGTAACATCCATGTAAATACCAGGATGTTGGTTTTAGTTTTTACCTCTCAGAGGTGTTGATGCGGTGGCTGATTTTTGTTTGTTTCCATTGTCATTGTGAGTGCTTATTACATAAATTAGATTTATAAAGTTATGAAATCTAGTTAGGGCAGTCCCTGTTTTGTAAATGTGGGTTTGTGTTATTTTCACAATTTTGTTCATTTGCCAAGGTTCACTTGAAATCTGAAATACAACAGAATATTTATTCAAACACTCCTGCATAGCTGCTGTCATATGAGCATGAGTCAGTGGTTCAATTTGTGTGAATGACAATGTGTTAATAGGTGGAAAGGCCGGTCCCGCTGGTTCTTAATACACCTGAGCAGGATTTGCTTTGGGGACAGCCAATCCCAGGCCGGTTCCCACTGAATCATGTGCTGCTCATGCCACAAACATGCTCCTTACAAGTCATCTGGCTATGTGGGAGTCACTTAAAGTGTTCAGCTGGCGTCTCCGAAAGACCTCCCAGACAAAATGTTTGCGTCTTTTCGTTGTCTGTTGAATGTTGTGTGCAAAAGGTGTCAAAGGAGAGGGGTTAAAAGTGCAAATTACTGGCAATTTAATGTACTAATGTAAGCCTGTAAAATGTTTTTTGTCATCGGCATGCTGTGAGAGAATAAAGCAGTCAAACCAGATTTATTTTTATATGCATACAGAATATTAATAAATAAATACTTTTAATAGAATTTATCTTTCATACACACACACACTCTCTCTCTCTCTCTCTCTCTCTCTCTCTCCTCTCTCTCTCTCTCTATCTATCTATCCTCTATATATATATGTGTATATATTCTCACTTCATATTACCTCAGTAAACACTCCAGTAAACACTACAGTTTAATGATCGCTGGTAAATGTGTTGAATAGATTTAGTCAAATATTTAAGACATTCTTTCTCTGGTTTTCCAGGATGCTTCAGCGGCAAGTTTCAAAAGAAGTAATCGATGGCGGCTCTGTGCATGTCTGGCTGGACCTGACAAGTAAGAGCCACACCTGACTTCTGATTATAAGCATTCTTAAGTTAGAATTGGATAATGTTTGTAGCTAATGGTTATTGGGAGATTGTGGATGTAAATTAAAATGAGTGAAACATTCAGTAACGGACCGAGGAGAAGCTGAGATATGAAAATCTTCATCTTCTCTGACTGTGAGAAAACAAAGGAAATCTTTATTTCCGTATTTCTTTCAGATCGGCAAGTTGCCCTCATGCTCCAGCAGAAGCTACACGAGGCTTTTCAGGTACTATTGGGTTTATAAACCCAAAAAAGCTTGACACAAGAAAAAAACGGATAAATGTAAAAAGCTTTTGTTATCTGGAGTCTCTGTAAAAATGTGAAAATGCTCTCTGTCCGCAGGCGTTTGTGGACAATAAGATGGGAAGCATGTCATACCTAGCTGCCCTGCCAATACAGGTGAGAGATTTTATTCAAATTCTGCCGAAAATCCACAGGATTTGAATCTCAAAGAGTTTCTGATGATTGTACGTGCATGAGGCTAAAGAGTCTCCTTCCTACTGCCGTCTTCTAGTTTGAGGAGCCAATCTATGGAAGCCTGAACACAGACTTCACCACGTTTGTGACCCCTGGAGCTGTGCTCAGGTCAGTACAGACTCAAAAAATCTGAGGATTATGGTTCAAACTCATTATCTGCTATCCAAATTAAGTGTGACAGGGTTAGGCTTTTGTTGTATTTCTTATATTCTGTGAAATATGTACTAGCCGTATGTGTTCTAACAAACAAAAAAAACACCCCTTTCTTTACCCTCCCTCTCTTTGTCCTCCATCTGTGTCCCTCCAGTATCACCTTCTACCTGGCTGTGGGTCTGACAGCACTCTCCTTCGTCCTGGAGAGGAAGGAGGGCCTTTTGGACAGGTGTTGGGTCGCAGGTGAGATGTTGTTCGAAATGCAAAATCTCCATCGTAACTCAAGATATCTGAACTCTGTCTAAGGTTTGTGAGGGCCCACATATTTCAAAGAGCTGGACCCTGCTCTCAGCTGCTGATGTCGCTTCAATTTGGCTTAAAGTTCACAAAAAGCAAATCCCCACGTCATTCCATTCTGTTTACCAGTACATTTTTAGCTTAAAGTAAAAAAATACACAGTTGATAAAGTCAAAAGTCACAGAAACAAAAATAGAAAACGACTTATGTGAACAGCCCAGAGAGTCACGGGTGAGGGGGGGCGGTGTCTCTATGGGCTATGTCTGGAACATGGCGGCCATGTTGGATCAAGGGCAAGTTTTCCCAGTGGGAAGGTGGTGGCTTTTCATATGAAAAAAAAAAAAAAGAACAGAGCGAGTTCCCAACGGAAAAACTTGCCCTTGATCCAGTGTGGCAGCTCTCAAGATGGCGGACATGTTCTGGACATAGCCCCCCCCCCTCACCCATGACTTTCTAGGTTATTCAGATATGTAAACTTCCTTTATCTGTAGTCTTATGATTCTAAGCATTTGCTTGGATAATTTCAGGGGATAGAATAAGGAGAAGTGAGCATGGTGTCTGTGGGTTTATTCCAATCTTAGACAATGAGCAATAATGTTTTTGTGACGGACATTTATTATAGATGAAAGTTCAGCCAATGCATCATTTAAACGTAATTTGAGACATGACCAGTAGAGGGAGGGACATGATCACAGCAGAGTGAGCTGTTCCACTCGAACAACTTCTTACGATAGATATATACACACACATTCATGTTGACGTTTAAATGCATTTTACTGAATAATTACGAGTCAGCATGTAGGGGAGAGATGAATATGTTTTGGTATCTTGTGCCCTCAAAACAGGCCTTGTTGAGTCTTCTGTTTCTCTATTTTAGGTTAGAATGGGGACATTTTGGTGTGTTGCTGTTTTATTTTCAACAACAGGACCCCATAAATAATCATTTATTTTTTTTATGCACGAAGCAAACAAAGGCTTCTAATCTCTGAGAGTTTTTTCAGTAAAAATGATTCAATTAGGAGATTTTGATGTGTCAACCTTCAACCCTTTTGAGTTAAGGTAAAAATTCTGCTTTAAAAAAAACTATAATGAAGCTCATTTTATTAATTTTTAGGTCGACTTTACCATGACACAGTAAATCATTTTTATACCAAATCAGTGGGTTAATTTGAGGATTTACAATCTCATAGTCTCCATGAGGCACCTTATGTTTTTGGCCTGCAGCATACAGCCCAAAACTTTAAGATTTTGAACCCAAAATCCAACAAATATTTGTTATTTTGATGTTTTTTTTGTGTATGTGTGTGGGTGTGGGTTTTTTTTTAATTCAATATTAAAAACAGCTGTCACCACCATGTCTTACTGGTATTCTGCCAAACACAACATTCACTCAACACTTGACACTTTTTGGAGTTAAACATGTTGGTTTGCAGTTGTGCAGCTAGATGTCACCAAAACCTGCGTATTAAAAAAAGACTTACACACCTTTTTTTGGGGAAACTTATACCTGCTCCCCCCTGACGCCTCCTCCCTTTGTTTTCTGCCCGCCAGGCGTGAGCTCCATGGAGACGATGCTGGCCCATCTCCTCTCCCAGCTGCTGGTCATCAGCGTCCAGATCATCCTCATGCTCCTCTTCATCCTGCTGGTCTTCAAGGTTTGTGCACGCCATGCAGACACACACTTCAAATGAAACCTTATTGACTGAGGAATGAACATTTGCAGCTGCTTTAAGGAGGCCCGGACTATACTGGAATGATTGTTTATGCTAACAGGCATAAACAATCATTTGCTTATGCAGACACAACCATGGCAACATCTTCATTTGCTTAACATAATATTTAGCAACTAAAGTCCCTCCTAATACAGTTTGCTTTGGGTTAACTGGGCTGGTCGTTTATTTAATTTGCATCCTTACTGTAACGATGTGGGGAAATTTGAGAAGGATCCCAGATGTGGACACTCAAAACAGGACACACTTTTTATAAAAAATAACTAAAAAAAGGCGATAAGAAAATAAAAAAACTAAACCATTCAAGTAAACTTCAAGTAAAAAATAACTAGTAGCTTTTAAAGAAAACTCACTACTGACAAAAGAAACCAGGAGCCTTTAAAAAAAAAGGACAGTGATCAGTGAGAGGAAAAAGCTGAGGATGGACATAGAAAGACTGTAGCATCAGGATTTGCATCCAAATGAAATTTCAATGCAGTGATTTAAAGCACAGCAGGAATAAAATAAATGTAATACACAAAGAGATAAAGATATGACTTTGTATTAAACAACTGTATAAAAGAGGATAAAGGATGAATAAGATAAATGTATTGCACAATCTTGCTGTGATGTAACGATGCACGGCAGGATGGTGCAGAGGTCCTGAGTGGAGCAGTCCTGTGTGGGTGAGGAAGGGGAAATATTCTGATGTGGTATAAGGCAATAATGGACACCGGTGGAAAGAGGACTGAGCATACAAAGGCTGAGGACCAGAAACCTGGAACAGGGGACAAAGTAAGAAACAGAAACAACCAAGAAAAACACCAGAAACTCGTGTAAAAGCACAAGACTAACCACAGATAAAATAAAGAAATGCATAAAGATAAAGAAAATCCTTAATTTAACCACAACAAATGACATTTTCTCCATTGAGATCTGACTCTAACTTCAGTGGATAAGAAAAGGGACTCCACGTGGACTAAAAACACCTTTTATTTGCCTTCATTTACAAGGATCAAACATCCTCCAAACAAACGTTCCTGCTCGGGTCCAGCAGATCTCTGCAAGAGCAACATCCGCCGTAAACATCGGTCCATCCCTGCTGGCCACCAGAGCCGTACATGGCGTGTGAACGGGCCGAGGGGCGTCCGTTAACGCTTAGTCCGCGATTTGAGGGCGTGCGCGGCGCGACGGTGTGTGTTTTAACGAAGGTGCCGAAGTCCAAAGAGACCACCGCTCCATAAATCCTTTCCCGTCTCGGCCGTATCCAGGGATCATTCCAGGATCGCCACGACAACAGCCTTTGATTGCTGTGGCAACCGAGTGGTCATGTGGTCTCTCGGTGCAGGTCTATTTTTGCAGGTTGTCAGGGGAGACACGGATAGTGTCGTAACACACGAGAAGCACGTCCACACACACACACGTATCCCGGTGAGTTATCACCTCGAATCGTCGGAGCTGAGACCTGCAGGCTTTTCTTAGCTTTTATGCGATTCTGAATAATGACTTTTGAGTGATTTACGAGCAGACCGCCTCAGCGGTGACATTTCTCTCCACTTCTTGCGGTTATTTTTGGCTGAGTATCAGAGAGCGTTTCTGTCTACTTGCAGATCTTTCCCCTTATTCCTCCATTGTGTCTTTAAAAGAGTTCTGCTCCGAGTTTAAGTGCAATCGCAGACACAAGACGGACGGTTTTAAGCCCTGGTGACTGATTTTTACAGGCCAATATTTCATGCTTGTGAACACAGTAAAGGAACATTTCATGAGTTTAAACTTAAGTCAAATGCAGCTCTTCTTTTGGAGGAAAAACGGCACATTCTAGCCTGATTAACATTTTCAATTCAGCTGTCTAACAGAAAAAAGAAAGTGTTTTCTATGTTGTATATGCACACGCTAAAGGAAAGGTTTTAGAAGGTGTTTTTAAAAATATGAAAACCATTTTGCTGCCAACACAAATGTGAAAAAGCCCAGAGATGCTTTACACTCATTCTGGCCCTAGTCCATAATATGAGCATTTTGGGGTTTTTGTTCCGGTCTGGTTATCATCCATCACACTTTACTAGCATGAGGTGACATTTAAGTTAATAAATTTAGCGTTCACGATTCCTTTCAGAGATCCAGCTGCTGGCTGTGAGCACAGCTGCAGCTGCAGCTGGCTGTGGGGGCTCCAGAGTGCTTTAGCCCGGACTTCCTGTGCACCTAGTTCACTGCATTCCTGCTCATCTCGTGCCCCTTTCTGTGGACAGAATCCAAACGAAGGCTCCCTGGTCCTGGTGGTGGTCCTGATCGTGCTGCAGGGCATCAGCGGCATCTCCTTCGGCCTCGTCATCTCGGCCGCCATCGACGACGAGCAGAGCGCCAACCAGGCCGCCCTGGGAATCTTCTACCCCAACCTCATCCTCAGCGGTAAGCCCGGAGAGGCTCATGAAGCCGGCTTTTTTTTTTGCTTTCCTTAAAAGCAGCAGGGGTCTGATTGCTGGAGCATTTCTAAACCAGGAAAGCTGATTAAAGCCTCTGTCAGCGATTTGTACAGATGAGAGCAGAGAAGGGCCTGTGGGTTGAAACCACCTCCGATACTTCCTCCAAATCTAGACACTAAAGAGCTACTTTTTTTCGCTGTCATCACGTGGGCGCTCACGATGTTATTAATGTGAGATTTTACACAGTCGTGTTGTAAAATCACTGGTGTGAATCTTAGTGGTGGACAGAAGGGGGAAAGAATCCAAAGGGAGGAGGGGAAGGGGAGGGGGGGGGAGGCAGTTGTGATGAACGGTAGTTTTATTCTAGCTGAGCAGAAGATGCTACAGAGGCAGGAGCCACTCGTTACAAACAGAAAGCGACGTCAACAGAACTAGAAAAAAAAATAAGGAAAGGACTGGGTGAAAACTTCGGGTAAGATTTTGGGGCAGTGGCAGAGTGAAGGAGCTCTGGATAACAGCAAGCTGGCAGGGAGCAATGAGGACCAAGGAATGCCGATAGGGATGATGGGATCAGCGGGTGCAGGTGAGTAATGAGAAAGCCGATGCCTTTTGAGAGGGTAGAAAGGCAACGGTTTTCAACACCAAGCTGGAAAATCTAAAACACAACAAAAGTGGGACCAAAATAAAGTAAAAGCATAGTAGAACATTCAAATGAGCTTCATTCGTCGCCATTGAAGGATGAAGACGCCAGTCAGTGACAGCACCTAGACAATGGAGCCATTTATTTTAAAAATAAAAAGAAGAGTTCTAATTCCCCGGTTTAAAATGCCTTTGCTATACATGTCTCAGGATATGCAGAGGAGACTTTTTTTTCGTGTGACCGGCAGCTCGGAAAAGTCAGGAAGGAAACCTGACGGCGCTTTTTTTCGAGCTGTCAGTCAGCTTTGAGGCATTGAATCTTGAATCGGAACATCTGGAAATCAATGAAAAGCGTACAAAGCCATATCACGTGAAGGCCGAACGACGCAGAGCTGCCAGTAAATAAAGCGTGAAGTGGGATTGCTTTCCCAGCTGCTCCACGGCTGAACTCTGAACCTCTTAGCATACTTTTGCTGCCACTTCCTCTGTCTTTTTACTGTTAAAATAGAATACAAAAATACAAGGAAAGGTATTGTGCTTGAATGGCTGCTGTGCTGTTTGTTATTGGATCCACACACGAAACCACGAGTCAGCGTCTCACAGCCTGGCCTCTCTTTTTGGTGACGTAGGCATCATCTGGCCCGTGGAGTGCATCCCGTACCCGCTCCGCTACCTCAGCCTGGTCCTCCCCCAGACCTACGCCTCCGAGGCCCTGCGCTGCATCATGTACAGAGGTAAGCCTGGCCTCTGAATCATTCATGGGCCGTTTGTCCTCCTCCGGGACGCCGCGCGGCCTTTTCTCCTGCCTTCCGACCTCGTCGCCTCTGAACAATGAGGCCGTATGACAGGCCGAGCTGGCCGCCGTGTTACCCGACACGCGGGAAAGAGGAGCAGCCGGTTCCTGTTTGAAAACCTTATCGCTGAGCAGCAGCAGAAGCCAAAGCCAGCAGCGTCAGAATCCAATGTGTGTGTGGAGAGAGGGGGGGGGGGGGTTAAATTTAGCAACCGGCAGCGTTTGCTGATTGAATTGAGTGCCAGTTGTTTTGTTTGAGCTCTTCCACTGTATGAGCTCGATTCAATGAGCTCACGAGCCTGCTTTAACACGATACTGCATTTAAATGTGCATGAGCCACCGTACGCGGCTTATCTGACAAAGTTAAGAGCTGCAGGAAGTTGCTGAGGTCAAAGGCAGCCAGATGGCACAGGCAGATTTATGTTTTGTTCAATGATTGAACACTTTGAGGTTTCAAAAAGAAAATGTATCAGTCAGGGTTTCAGTTTCTCAGCGGATAGCTTCAAAGCCGTTGTTAGTTTGTACTTTAGATGGGGATTTTCTCAGATACAGATGCCCGGAAAAGGGTAAAAAAAAAAAAGGGTTAAAGATCCACACAAAAGGAACACGTCCACATTTCCTTTGTTCTCTGATAACAATTTGGTAAATGTTCTACATAAATCACAAATTTCACAGATTTGAAGGCCCTTGTGTCACACTAAAGGTGGTCTTCCTTAGTTTTTTATGATAGTTTCACCTAAACCTGAGCTCTCTCAAATTTATGAAAGGGGGAAAAATAAGGTCAAAAGTAAATGTCTCATGGGTGGATCTTCATCTCAGTACAGGTATGAAATGCCTGTTACAGACATGAAATAGCTACAAATCTCATCATTAAGTGTCCATTAGATCATTTTATAATAAAGCAGTGCCACACTCAATGTAACTTTCATTTTATTTTAAGCTGAAACTTGAAGCAAATGTGTTGAGTTTACAGATAACATTCATTTGAACAAATGTTTGCCATTTGAGGACTTCTACAAGTGTTCTTAAATTCATTCTCTTGGCTTTGTGCAGATGTATTACATGAATAAGACGGAGCTCCTGTTGTTCTCTCTCCTGTGAGCATGTCTCAGGTCATTGATCCCACAGTGTCCTGCTTAAAACCCATTAGCATGGTTGGTTTTTCAGTGGCCCCACAGGGCATATTCTTTCCTTAACACAGCCTTCCTTTTGTGCATTTGATCTTTTTGGAGCTCGAGTTGCCAGACCTTGTGACGGAAACAACCTTATTATTGACTATCCTCTCATATCGAGCCGATCTGGCAATTTCAGAGCACAGATGCCGAGTTGTATAGCAGCTTTTTATGTCACTGTGTGAATTCTGTTATTTAGCTTGATTTATTGCTAATTGGGCACATTTGATCTTGGACCGTGCCCGCGTTTTGCCTCCTGTCTCTGTGGTGTTGGTGCTGACTGTGTGACCTTCCCACCAGGATGGGGCCTGACTCAGATGATGGTTTGGCGGGGCTTCGCCGTGACCATGGGCTGGAACGCTTTCTTCCTCATCCTGGCCACGGTCATCTTGAAGCTGAGGACGTGACAGCCTCACCACCAGAGGACGGAGCGGCCGGGGGGTGTCCAGGAGCCAACACCTCCCCTGGGTCACCTGCCTGCAGCCGGACGACAGAAAGCGAGAGAGAACGAGGCGTTAGCGGTGGCGTTAGCCATCGTATTATCTCTCTCACCCACCCAGTCACTCACATTCACTCCCGTTGTCCCCGACAGGCTGTCTGTGTATTCCTGCAAAAACGCCAGAACAGTGTGTAGTCCCGCAGGTTGTTTCACTGCTGTCTGCAGCCTCGTGAAACCTTTCACCCCCTACGAGGCCACGAACCAACTCAGGATCACTTTTAAATGTTTGTCTGTAGTGTTCACGCAGGGAGAGATTCTTTTTTTGTTTTTCTCTTTATTTGACTTTTCTCCTTTTGGGATAGAAAAGGAACCATTTAGCTGAAAGACACTTGATGATTTTGCCATTTCCTTAAGATTTGACGTTAATGAAAAAGTACAAGTTGACCTACAAAAAAGAAGTTTTAGCACAAGAAAAAGATGCTATTATGTAAGTTTCCTGCGCAGAAAACGTTTGCTGCACAATGTTGTGGGAGCGAGGGTTAAAAGTGATGATTGCTCAGAAGATGATCACCCATTCCGGTTTCTCACAGCATCTCTATCGTTGCTTGCTTGTGATATTTGTGTTGATTTAACATCCTGTGTCATTATGACAGGATGTGGTAACTCTGTTATTTGGCTGTTACCAGGTGCTCTGATGTCTCATCCTCATTCATGTTGATCTTCTCCACAACTTTGTGCCTGGATCTCAAATGGGAGAAAGTTGGTGATGGGGACGTTCCTTTATCGTATCTTTATATGTTTGATTTCTCTCTACTTTGCTGGCCAGAGTGGAGGCTGTCAGATCGATTTCTGATCACAGATCAGGCGTATCGTACTCCCAAAGTTGCCTGCACTCCGACATTTAAAACAGCCGAAACTCTATGACTTTTCTACGAACAGTCGTACAAACTGAAAGCACAAACGAGTAAAGCTGTCTGGATTCAACCTGGCACAGAGACGGTGTCAGTGCTGAGAGGACAAACATGAAAAATCAAAGCAAAGTTCACAACCGTTGAAGCTGATTTATAGCGGCTGTTTGTTTATCTTCCTCTTGATTTTTCACATGCTTCTGTTCTGAAAAGAGTCACATATAAGGGTGCTTTAACGTGTCTCTGAAGATATTTTTTTTTTAATGGAGATATATTTTTATCTGTATTGTGTATAAATAAGTGTTGAACAACGTGTAAAATGCAAAACGAGACGATTTGAAAAGGCTAATGTGATCAAATCCGAAAGAGTTTGAGCTCCATTTATTCCTCCACTTCTTATTGAATGGAACCAGGATGTACTTAACTCTAAGCTAGCCAGTACACTGACTCATTTAACTACATATATTCTGCCTGCAAATAAAAAAAACAGCAGAAGTAATCTAAACTTATTTTCAAATGTAAAAATCTCTCGAAAGAAGCATCAGACCAGCATGAGATATTGTGCCATTTAAAATGTTTACATGTATCAAAGCTAAATGAATCTTATTTTTGTGTTTATTTCCGCTCAGCTGTAGATTTAAAAACACATACCTGCATGTCTGCTGTACATTCGTCCTGTTCCTGCTGCACATTTTGAGGAACATTGTACGGTCGAAGACCTCCTGCTCTCATACAATCATCAGGCTTCTTGCATATGCTCTATTTATAACCCATGAGCCTCACTCGGCTCCCATCACCTGATAGTTTATCTTTATTAAACTGCCGTAGAGTGGTAGACTGTCTGGTTAGAGTGGTACGTTGTCTCTACGTTTTGGCATTATTAGCTTGTTTTGTTTTTACGTTTTGCTGCCAAAAGCTGTATTTTATCTGTGTAAGACTGGTGACGCCTGTCCAAGTGTGCTCTGTTTTCACTGAATATCCTCATGTCACGGACCCGCTCCTCAGTGGAGGACACATTCAAAGCACGAGCTGCAGTTTTTCCTGCTGAATGTAACGTGAATTTGATGTCTTTCGGCCGAGGAGTTGCAGCCTGTGTAAACATTGGTTTCTTTTGCCAGAGTGAATTACATCCAACATGTTCCAGTCGACTACCTCCACCGTGTCTCCCTGAAGGGCGTGTGAAGCATTGTGTTGTGACTTGTGTGCACTGTGATGGCAGACATGCTTCAATGAAGTTCAATTAATTTCTTCTAAAACAATAAACTTCGCTGAAAAAAAACAACATCTCGTTTATCTTTCTCTTTGAGGTTACAAAAACACTCCAGGTCATGGCTGAGAGGCATGCAATTACATCACCACTGCTTTCATCACTGTGTAGCTCGTTGCCATGGCGACGACCCCGCAGCCTCCTCTCTGATCTGTCTTCACCTGACTGCTCACGGTTGACTGTTTGAACTCTGTTTGAGTCTTTGTGTAGCCAACATACTCTTTTGTAACATAAAGCCTGAGAAAATTGCAGTGGCATTACCTGTAAATTGTAAAGTCACTCTAAAGCCCTCTAAGATTATGAGAGTCATCTCGGTTTGAGCCTTTTTATGTCTGCCGGTGACTGTTTGAGTGGGTTTTCCCGTAGTTATGTTGAAAATGCATGTTTGTTTTAGACCAAATCCAATTTGTTTTTTGTATGAGTCAAGTCAGATTGAATCTGACTTTTTTCATCCTGATTTGGGTCTCCGTGTGTTTTTCAGTATGTGAACAGGGATCAGATTTCTTGACCTAGTTCTGTAAATCCTGGTGATCATAAATGTTTCTTCAAATTCCAGATAATTTGCAGGGCATCTGTCAGTTTTCTGCTCAGGTGGACGTCAGCACTTTTCTGCATTTAGGAGGAAAACGTCCTGTGTCCAGTGAGGTTTTGTAGGAGTTGGAGCTTTTGTTAGTTCACCAATTTAGCACATATTTAATTTTATTCACGGTTTAGTGACATTTTTACTCTATGAACGTCCATTGCGAGTACTCAAAAACCTGGAAACCAGCGGGGCTCGAAACAGATCAAGGTTTTGACAATAAATGTGTGGATAAAAAGGTGAAATTGCTTATGCGGACCAAAAAAAAAAGCCCAAACTGGAGACGCAGACCCGGTCATGGTTTTCCAAGGTCAAGAAGGTAGAAATGGGATGACGGAGCATCTTTTTTTATCGCATCAGAAAACATGATAAACCCGAACCAGCGGGGCCCTGTTGAGCCTTTGTGCTGCGTGGCCTCAGACTGGCCTCAGCCTCTTTAACCTTATCAACAGAATGTTTCCTGGAGGCGTCTGACCTGAAATGTCAGAACGACAAGCGAAAGAATACAGAAGCAGCATTTCCCCTCGGATTCCTGTTCTCTCCCGTCACCTTTGACAGTGAAAATCCCCCAGCTGTTTTCTGTTTGTGAGTTTTAACCGCTCATCATCTTCTTTGCGTCGTCCCGCTGGACGTCGGGGGGCCAGTATATCAGCGGCCAGTCGTGCTGACAGGCCGATATTAAAATGCTTCTGCCGTTCAGTGTGAAATGGGAGTCTGGCTGTCTGTCCGCAGCCGATTACAGACGCTGCTGAGCTCGGTGACAACATCGGGGCTAATTACACTCAATGACCGTGTAATTACGCCCAGAGTCTCAGAGGTCTATAGGCCGCGGTGCGTTCAGGTTACAGGCGCAATGGACGCACGAATGAGCAGAACCCTGTGAACAGCTTCATACCCGAGAAAGCATTTAGCAGGTTTCCTTAGAGGAAACAGGAGAGCAGGCGGAGGGGGGGGGGCTGAGACTAAGGGCCCAACTCAGGATTTACGGC